CAGAGTGAAGTCATTAGGGCTGTCAGAATAAACTAGTTAATCGCAACTAATTATGGTTTGAAATTAACGTATATATCTTTTTAAATCACAATCAATCACATGCTGTTTTGTCCCTTTAGGCGCACCGTAGAAAAGCCTCCCGTGTCCCCCTGTAGACACAGTGATGGAAAGAACAACACTGTCAAAAATCAGAAGTTTTGTCAGACATTTATTTTGAAACATTTTAACAGGTGACTGTTGCACATGTCTTTTATGTGTGTGGTGTTTATATAACAAACATATTTTGAAACCTGAAATATTTTGCTCAAATTTCAACATCATCCGGTCAAATCTGCAGGAAGCAAACTGCTGGTGTGACAACAATTGTTTTGCAACTGAAGAAAAGGAAGAGACTAGATGATTATCTTTTGAGAAAGTGGCACATTTATCCAGCAGTGGTTATGACAAGTCCATGATAACACTGAGTGAATTCAAAACAGTCCTCCCTGACTTTTTTAGTGAGCTCACTGTTTCTCTCCGAGGTAAATAATGCAGAGCTTATTTTCCTGCTTTGAGTTCTGTCAGTGTTACTATTTCACATTTAACTTCCTGCGTTTACCTCTTGGGAGGATCAGAGCAAGGGGCTTAAAACTGAAAAGCTTGAACGTCTTATGTCATTGCGCTCACAATATTTTTTCAATTCTGTGAAAAGTCATCCTGCCCTTTTTTAATAATCATCATTCACTTTTTTTTTTTTTTTTTTTACGTCTACAGGAAATTGTCAGGAAGTGCTGAAGTGCAGAGTCCAGCCTGTTCTGTTAGTTAGAGCATTATTACATAACAAAATGTAGCGTCATCTTCCACCCACCACTCTTCTTTAAGAGAGTGAGTCAGACGGGCGAGAGAGACAAAATACTGAGGCAGAAAGCTGAGCTGTTGTTGAGCGTCCAGAGAGCAAAATGGAGCATTATGGGAGAGTTGCTGCTCTGCTGAAATGTCTTTCACCTGCTTTATACAGCACAGGGGGATAATGTAATCTTACTGATAATATCTCAGCATTATTCCATGGTGATAAGAGCATGTCACCTGGAAATCTCCTGATGTTCAAATGAAACTTATTGTATGTTTAGCTTGCTCAGAATCAGTCATCAGAGGTCTGATAACTGTGCATTAAATCCTCTCCACAGCCTTCACACATTTCCTTACTAACTCCTTTTTATTCTGTCCTCTTAGCCTCTTTCACATGACACCAGCTTTACAAGACAACATTTCCATGTGATAAGCAAAGTCTGTTTACTTAATTTTGCTGACATTTTTTTTTGGATATCATGTCAAGGCTGTTACTATAAATAGGCCGAATCACATCAGCTGAGCCTGTTAAGAGAGATTTTGTTAACTTTATGCTGCAAACGCATGTCATGACTGTAATCGTCTTTTGAGATTTCACTCCTGTCATGGATTTACTCTCTCTCTCTCTCTCTCTCTCTCTCTCTCTCTCTCTCTCTCTCTCTCTCTCTCTCTCTCTCTCTCTCTCTCTCTCTCTGTGTGAATGCAGGGCAGCGAGATGGAGTAGTTTGAATTTGCATTGGAAATGCTGTCCTTGATTTAATTTGAAATTGCCAGCAAAGTCTCAATCATTTTTAAAACTTTGTAGGCAAGGCAGACAAAAGGCACAGATACATCAAGACACCTTGCAAACAGGATGATGATTAGCAATTTAATAAGGTTTTAAGTAAAATTTTAACTCGTCCAGTAAAGACGGAGTAGCATTAGCATCTCTGATTGTCTTCACATGGCCAGGTATGGTGCTAGCTGTAGTTGGCTTACAATCCAAAATCCAAAGATTTAGTTGCATATATTTTCACATCCAAAATCATTACTCTGTAGAACCAAACAAGATATTTTTTTAGCAACATCAAATCAAACAAACAGACAGACTAACAGAAAGGTGTTCCAGACCAAATTATAACCATCCGCTATCAGTGATTCATGTAGTGAGTCACTGCCATCAGAGTCCTTGGTGTTAAATTGAGCTTGCTGCTATAAATAGCCTGAACAGTGTCAGTGTCACCGGCCTATTGTCCCCCCCATCACAAAACAACACTGAAGTCTTTCCTTGGGCCCCATGTCAGGTCTTTGTTTGGCTCCCTGTCCATCACAGAGCAGAGGCCGAGGTATCAGGTTGCTAGCTTAATCTCATGTAGCATTGTTTGTGGACGAGGTTTTGACAACACGAGCTCGGCCTCGCCCCCTGAAACAAAGGTTGGCACCCCTCTTAATGCAGAAATATGGATGGAAAAGAGCTGGGGAAAAAAATCGAGCATGTACAGTCAGAGGGGAATGCGCAAAGAGAAACAAAAATGCTATATTTTGCTTTTCACCTGCAATGTTGTATAACTGGTGACATTGGGATTGCTGTGTCCTGTTTATGTGAGAAAGAGAAGCAGAGCTGAATACTTCACAGGCTGATTCCTCTGCTTGTTAGTGGAGTTTAATTTGTTTTGACAAATCTGTCTCTCTCTCCTCCTCCAGGCATTTCTGTGTCCACCAAACTTTACTTTCAGCTCAGCAGTGAAGTGATACAGATTAACGAGACAGAGAAGACACTTGGACTTCTTCACCTCAGTTTTTAAAAGTCGTCAGACTATTTATGCTGAGTTCAGAGTGTTAGTCAGTTAAGCTAAAGTTTCTGTCTTGTTTTGATTTCCTTCTGCTTTTTTGCTCAGTTAACATAATATACAACCTATATAGGTTATATAACTGTTGGCTTTGGATTTGATGGGTACATGTTTGATTTGAAAGAGAGAGTGCTGGTGTGACTCAAACTATTAGACACAATTATCCTTTTTTTTTAATCAATGCTTTTGTTAAGACTGCTTACATTAAAGTCTGAGGCCAATTTGTTTTAGGTAATCATAAAGTATATATTTTCATATGGTATTGTATCATTAAACATTATTTAGCAACAGCTGCAGGCAAATTGAATTTTCATTCCCCCCAGTTAATATCTCCAATGGAGGTCTTAAATTGTCTTAAATTGTTAATTTTGAACTAAGTGTTCATCACCTGGAGATATGCATTTAAAAATCAGGATTATCTATTTTGGTCAGGTTTGTGTGCACATTAAAGGAGCTCATTACTCTCTGTGTACAAGCAGCAAACATCATGTTTGAGAAATTAGAAATACCTGGAATTTGCTAGAAATGGATTCCAATCATTAATCGTTGATCCACACAGGATTACAAGTTATTTGACCCATTGTTTTCCCCCATACAAATATAAGTCAGTATAATATACTGCAGTGGATTGGTGCATCACTGCTATGTTTGTAATCACAATCAGAGCTTCTAAGTTTAGTTTAAATGGCGCCCTGATGCCATTACCTCCATGATCTTAAAAAAAAAAAATCTGCTAGTTAAAACCATCATTCATTCATCTCAATGCAGTCTTCCCTGTGGACGCCTCATCCTCGCTACATGATCATCTGACAGCTTTACGTGATGTTTAAGTGTCTATTTTCAGCTCATTCCAAAAAGCGCCCACCAAAGTCATTTCACATCTCCTGCTTTAAAAAAAGGTTCAAAATCTGACAGGCTGCTAAATATAGACACGGCGATAAAAGACACTTGAACTATTTGAGAAGCTGATTAGATAACTCCGCCATCACTGGACTGGTTTTTGATTGGCTTAGGGTTTATTTTGCTTTTAGGGTTTATTTGCCCTATTTTATATCACAAACATGGCCTTTTTAAAGCTGCAGCAGCTCTGTGGTCCGGTCCTCTCTGGTATGTTTGAGGCTCCTGCTCGGTCCTCTTCTGCTTCTTTCAAACAGCTGTCAGTCTGATGAATTGCACGTTCAGAGAGAGTAAGCCTCTTCAGGTGAAAAACATGCTCTGAGTAAACGGCGCACTGAATGGAAAGTGACAGGACTCATGTTTTTGTGATGGCTACCTGTGGAGGGAAAACATGAGACTGTAACAGTTGAGTGGTGACAGCAGGCCAGAGGAGTCCAGACGTGTTAGCGCTGGCTCTGAATGCTGCTCGTCCACATCGTGATGCAAACTTCACAGACAGAGTATACTTTGTTCTATTTTATTAATATATATATATATTTTTATCCTTTATTCACTTGTTTCTATTTCTTTTACTGCTCTTACCTTCTTATTGCTGTTCTCTTTTGATTTGCTTTGAGCTCTTTTACTTTCTTACATCTTTTTAAATGTTTGGTCCTCTTGGTCTCAGCTCGTGTTGTTGGGTTCTTATGATGGTTCTTATGATGGTTCTTATGATGGTTCTTATGATGGTTCTTGTGATGGTTCTTATGATGGTTCTTATGATGGTTCTTGTGATGGTTCTTGTGATGGTTCTTGTGATGGTTCTTATGATGGTTCTTATGATGGATCTTATGATGGTTCTTATGATGGTTCTTATGATGGTTCTTATGATGGTTCTTGTGATGGTTCTTATGATGGTTCTTGTGATGGTTCTTATGATGGTTCTTATGATGGATCTTATGATGGTTCTTATGATGGTTCTTATGATGGTTCTTATCATGGTTCTTGTGATGGTTCTTATGATGGTTCTTGTGATGGTCGGGTTATAGATGTCTGTTGGGTATCGTGCACTATGGGTTCTTTTCTGTTGAATTGTATTTAATTATTTTTAGTATTTTGCATTTTTTATGTTCTTGCTGTTGTTTATGTTCTTCTGTGTTTGGTTTAGTTTGTTCTTGTTTTTGCTGTTTGTCAAAGCACTTTGTAAACCTGTGTTTTTAAAAGCTGCTATATAAATAAAGTTATTATTATTATTATTATTATTATTATTATTCTACACTGCATAAGGCTCCCTGCACTCCAGCTAACCTCTCTGTTGACATGGTCAGGTTTTAACTGGGTTCAAAGGATGCTTTTGTTCGACCCATGATGTTCTGTGGACCCTGATCCTGACTTCTTCAGTGTTCGACTTTTATCACTAGATTTGTACATGACATATTTATGTGTCTTTTTTTTTTCTTCCTCTAGGAGTGTCGTCCCGCGTCCCAGAGATCATGGCGGCCGGCACCCACTCCCCTGGAGGGCCCAATGGCATAATCCGGAGTCAGTCCTTTGCAGGTTTCAGCACGCTACAAGAGAGACGCTCTCGGTAAGCAGAAATGTCAAGAGCTGTTAATCTATGGTCAGATGTTGGCACTCATTTTCAAGATGACTATCAGGGTCAAGAAGTTAGTTCAAGTTTTATGGATGCATCATTTCATTAGGGACTGTATTGATTTGAAGGTGAATTATTATGATCTTTATTTTACTTTAGTGTACGGCCCTGATTCAAATCCAGCCTGTAGTTCCTTTCCTGCATGTCATTCCTCTCTCCTTCCTTCTCTCTCTCTCTCTCTCTCTCTCTCTCTCTCTCTCTCTCTCTCTCTCTCTCTATCCCTGATTTCCTCCTCCAGAAGCGCACCCTCTGTCATTTGCCAAAAGAGTAAAGACTAACCCTCTAAAACAACACATGACCTCATAGACACTAGGATCTGTCTAATGCTAACAGCTTATTACATTTCAGAATTTGCTGGCTTCACTCAGGGCTTACTTTTGGTACTGGCCTTGTTAATATAGTCTTTTTTTCAAATGCACTTCCTGTCAGTTGTTAGGCGTAACTTTTGTGAGAGAGAGAGAGAGAGAGAGAGAGAGAGAGAGAAGGCCTTCTTCCTTTGCTCGCCTGCTTTAAATTGCAGCTCTGATATCAGACATAGATTCAGCATCACTCGCACAGAAGGAGGGGAATTAACCGCTTCAGTAATCTGGAGCAAAACTTCATGACACTCATCGCGCCACAGCCAGTCTCTAGATCCTCATCAGGGAAGTAGTTCTTAAGCTGTGACCATCACTGGGTTGCATAACCATTCAGCTCAGTCGTGTTTTTTTTTTTGTTAGTTAAGAGATGTTTTAAATCAATTAATTTCTTGAGAGATCAGAGTTCTATCGATGAGACAAAGCTGGCTCAAATCTCAGAAACATCAGAAATATGTTTGATCTTTCTTCTTTTGACGGCTGGTCATCATCAGCCCTGGCCCTTCTTAGAAACTCTTTTTTTCTTTTTCTTTTTTTAAGAACACTGTTCTCTCTCTTTTCTCCCCGCTCAGACAGCGAACAGGGTAATTGGCTGGAATGACTCGGATGTGTGGGCAACTGACAGCGACTGACAAGTTACCATTCTCATAATGAGCGCGGTGGAAAGCTTCAGAGCTCCAGCTCGTGTTAGTGAACGTGGCTTTCATGTGTGTGTGTGTGTACCCATGTGTGTGTTCAGTGTGCATTTACGCATACTGCACACTTTGCAGATCAGAACTCGATGCTGCTTTAGCATCTATGCATATGTGTGTGTTTTCCTGCCAAGAGACCCCTAATACACTACTTGCTTGTGTGACCCCCAAGGCTACGCTGCGCTCTCATTCAGCGCTGCCCTACATTTGTGTAGCAGCTTTAGTTTTACTTGTGCTGGCGCGCAGCAAGACGTGGCACGTTCCCACTTGTCGAGCACTGGAATCGTTTGTCGCCCTCGTCGCTGTGATGACTCCGGGATCATTTCACTGAGTCGGAGGAAATTACTTTTGTCAGCTTAATCTGTAAATGTTTATGAGTGGGAGGAGTGAGTGTGACTTATAAATGGATTGATTTGTGAAGAAGAGGGGGCGGCTTTTCTTTAGTTGAACGGAGAGACTGGGCTAAGATGTGGAGCTGAAACCAATCATGGAATTCTCAATAAGCACTTTTGGTAATCTGCTAACCTTTTTTTAAATTAGTAGGTATTCTTTCATGAATACCTACTAACTTAATGATGATGGTCTCCATATTATTGATGATGATGATGATGATGATGGTAATGACGATGGTTTTTGTTTGATAACAATGACTTATAAGATGGTTTCTATACTGATTAGAGCTCTCAAGAACTGCCCTCAATGTTGTGCTTTGCCTCTGGTCACTTCCTGTCAGCACCTGTGTGTCCAATCAGACTCAAAGCTGATTGTTTGCTCTTACTGACATTGTTCCCTTTTTTCCAGATCCTTGCTTGTGTTGTACTCACTCTCTGATGTACGTCGCTTTGGATAAAAGAGTCTGCTAAGTGAATTGTAGAATTGTAGAAGATGTACAGCAGGATTTTGCCATCTTTGTCAGACTGAACCATCAATTTAAGAGTTTGCCTTTTAGTCTTAAGAATGATGAGGGACATTTTTAACTCTTGGACTTTGGGACTTGTGGTTTAAAATAAAACTGACTGATAAATCAATGGTAAAGTAACCATAGGTCGTAGCCTGTTTAGACTTCAAATATCAGGCTATTGAGAAATGCTCATCATGTCCCTCAGGTTTGAACATATAGAGATGAAACATTGAGTCCCTTAATCCAGGGGTTCTCAAAGATTTTTAGACCATGGACCCCCTTTCAGGTGAGACATTTTTCCAAGGACCCCCTCATTATCTTAACATTGATAAGCATATATTAATACTATGTAATAATGTACTATGTAGTACTTTGCAACGATAGAATTAGGCTACATGTATACTTTCCAAGTAATTCATTTTATAAACTTTGAGAAAATGTTGGCTCGGAGGAGTTTTTTGTTTTGATTTTCTTTTTTTTTTTTTCATAGTTGCAGACTATGAAGTGACAGACATGTCATGATCATATCAGAATTGAACTAATGGCACTAAACTAAAGTGGGCGGGAGTATTGGGTAAAATAGATTATATTATTGATGCAAGAGATCCCAGTTTGTAGATATGCTTTTTCAATGATAAAGCACACTTTTACAATTGTATCTAAATTATTCCGCGGACCTCTGGGGGTCCTGGGACCCCACTTTGAGAATCACTGCTTTAATCAATATGTTAATCAAGTAATATTATTCTACAAATAAAGAAGGAATACTTTTATTATGTTCCCTTTTTAATCATTCTAGGTTTTTATATACTTCTTAAAACAAGACATTATAACCTGACCTGGGAAGTTTAGATGTGCTACAGTCCAGCCATTACTAACTAAATCCAAAAATAAACCGATTATTTGTATTGAAACTTATCTTTTTTTGCAGCTTTACCCTTTTCTTCTCATGACACCATTTCAATAAGCCTGTGTCACTTTGTTTTATACGAACATGTCAACTAATGAACCCTAATTATTATACTGCATATTTGTTGGCTTCCACCCATAAATCCGTCACCCCGATGCTGCTTTACTGCAGGACAGAATAATTAGGGGAACACTTGAATGTCATTGATTGCTGGGAGTCAGATTTTGCCTCAAGTTGTGTTTGTACGTTCACTCCAGCAGAAGAGAAATGGTCAACATACACGGGTCAAACTGAGGGTGCAGTATATGAATCACATGCTCGCACTTGTTTGCTCACATATATGTGTGCATACTTGTGATTCAGCACAGCCATGTGATCGATGTAGAGGTTAACTGCGGAGGTTGTGTGGTTACTTTTTTTGAGTGCTGTGTGCTTAGTTTGACAGGTTTCTGCTGGTTTGAATGATATGCAGGTTACATGTGTGATTGAGTTATCATTGTGTGAATTGACCTGACAAAGCCCACTCAGCCTGACAAATGAGATTAATTAATGCAGAGGCTGACCCGAGGACTTGCTCACAGTGGTATAAATTAATACATAAATGTCCTCTGATGCTGCCCATTCAACATTTCTATTAGATGTGTGTGTGTTTTACTGGGAATTCAGGGTTTTAAAGTCTGATCTGCATCTGTGGATTTATTTGCAGTTTGCCTCAAAAATTGGATGTCGAAGTCCCACTGAATCTAAAATAGTTATCCACTTTGTTTATTCAGGTTTAACTGAGTTAGAACTCCAGGAAGTAGTACACATTTTGATTCAAATGTACACGCTCACAACAGACCCTCCATTGCCTTTTCTGAATGTGTTGTGCTTGTGTGTTCATAATGCGTGTGCAGGTGTAACTCCTTCATGGGGAACTCTGCGGTGCAGAAGAAGCCCCAGTCCAAGCCAAAGAAGCCTCACCTGTCGGGACACAAGGGGGGCAGCAGTTCCAGAGACCCACAGCCCAAAAGACTGGAGGAGGTTTACAATGCACTCAAACAAGGCCTCGAGTGAGTAACACACACATACTGATGTATACTTAAAGTGTGAACGCACTGCTCCTTCTGACCTTTTATTTTTATTTTTTTTCTGCCAGGCAGTACATGGTTTAAGTCCAGATGTAACTAATCTCCTCCTTAATGTGTACTTCCACAGTCAATTAATACAACGTTTTTTTTGCAGTGTGCTATTATAATTATAAAGTATTCATTTCCCTCACAGAAATTTCCAACGTTTAATCTCTTTGAATTTGTTTTGTCCCGTAGTGAGTATCTGGAAGTTCATCAAACAGAGCTGGACAAACTTATGTCTCTGATGAAGGACATGAAGAGGAACTCTCGCCTGGTGAGACCCCTTCCATCAGCTAACACACAAATATACATTTAAACACAGTTTAGTCCTGCCTCACCAACATCTTGAAACAATTATTTACACTTTCTTGTGTAAAACAGGCAGTTTTCCTGTTGTCTTTTAATGAGAATTGCTACTCAAATCTTGAAATGAATTTCCTGTAGGCTGCATTATGTATGTTTACTGTTGCTTAATTCTATGTCAGCTGCCAAAATGTTTGTTGTTGACCCTGTAATCACTTTATAGATCTCAGCATCACAGATTCAAACATGGCAACCCTATTTGAATATATTCCTGTGCACACAATCACTCACACATAAAACACAAATACTGAGACAAGGCTGCCTCTGGAAGGTTTTGTGTAATAGGATGTATTATTGATGCCAGACACCTACAGTCTGCTTAGCTTTACTTAAGCAGCCTCAGCTGTGCGTTCCATCCGAACTAACACTGTGTGTGTGTGTGTGTGTGTGTGTGTGTGTGTGTGTGTGTGTGTGTGTGTGTGTGTGTGTGTGTGTGTGTGTGTGTGTGTGTGTGTGTGTGTGTGTGTGTGTGTGTGTGTGTGTGTGTGTGTGTGTGTGTGTGTGTGTGTGTGTGTGTGTGTGTGTGTGTGTGTGTGTGCTTTTCTAGGGAGTGCTGTACGATCTTGACAAGGTGAGTTGACGGAGGGGAGGGTCCACTTGTAACCAGCGTTCAAAGTTTGATGTGTGTTGAGGAAATCATGTAAAAGAAGCTGAAAGGGAGAGAAGAAGTAAAAACAGCTTAAGCGATGAGTTAGAGGCTAAAGAATAATACAAAATGAGTTGGAGGACAGAAGAAATTACTTGAATTATAACGTTTAATTGAACATTAATGTCACTCATGCTCAGACTTGGAAGCTGTGCCTCATTATATTCAGCAGTATTGACATGTTCAGAGCGTTATCTCCAGGTAATTTATTGTGCTGTATTTCTTTCTGCAGCAAATCAAAACCATTGAGAGGTACATGCGACGTCTGGAGTTTCACATGAGCAAGGTAAGACTGATGGATATGTTATCAGCCAAAGCTTATCTTTCTTGTCCATGTGGATTTTAATAATTTATTTATAGATCTGTTCTGACTCTTTGGGCTAGTTTGTTTGCTGCAGTTTGAAATTGTCCATTGCGTGCTATTAAAGTCACATCTCAATGCCTCCTTATACATATATCCCCTCTCCACATTCCTCCAGGGTTTCTTTGAAACCAAAAGTTTAAGAATGGACTTGTTTGCTTCTTTTGCCAAGAGTATAAAGAGAAGATTGATACCACTCTCACATCTGTCCGTCACATGTGAAACTACAGTGAGGCTAGCAGCCTGTGTTAGATAAGAATAACTGTACAAGACTGAAACAGTGATTTTCTAAACTTTGACAGAACAACGCTGAACTGTTACATCTTATTTCTCTAAAACCTGAAGTGTAAAAATGAATGTTAATTTGAAGTGCAGTGACAGAGCGACTTAGTAGCACACCAGGCTATTAGCTAACTCTGTCTTCTAGGCAGACATTAAAAAGTAGCCTACTAGCACCTCTAAGGTTTGTACCTCGACTAACTTAATAAAATGTTTAAATGTGAGCTTTGAGCTAGAGATGCTGTGATTTGTGTTTGGATAGAGCCTCTTGAGCTCTTGACCCTCTGTTTTCTGCGCTTCCAGTTAAGCTAACTGCTAGCTATAGTTTCTTGTGATGTAAATCTTCCTACTCAAGAAAGGAAACCAGTTTATTTTCCAATATCTCAAACTGTAACTTTAAAGTCTGAAAACTGTGACAAGCAAAGGTTAATATTTTTTCTTCCTCTGACTTCCTGCTGTGGTTTTGTGTTGAGTTTTTGGATAAAGTTTCAGTGTTACTCCTCGCCCTACTAATTTTGCCAAATTGGCTTCAGGGACGATTTTTGTTGCCATGCAGGGTGGTGTTCCTGCTCGCCCATGGTTCCCGTGTTGATGTGTTAGGGATGTTTCCAGCGGTTTTGATGCCAGGTAGAGAAACTTTTTTCCTCTGTCCTCTTTTGTTGCCGGTTGGGAACATTAATCCCCTGCAAGGCCACAGCTGAGTGACTTTTGTAGCCCTCGTGCTGTGCATCAAATCAAACGTGACAGCAGGCAATCAGAACACACGCACCCAAACAACAGCGCGGCTACAAAGGTAACCATAGTAACCCCAACGTGGAGCCTTTTGAAGTCCCTTGAAGGAGCTCAGAGGAGGCATAGGGGGACGTTAACCCTTTATGTCCACATACTTCCTGAGAGGAAATAAAAAAACTCACCTTCAGACGTCTTAGAACAATAAGACACACTACACAGTGACACAGTCTGTGGATCTCGTCTGGAGGGTTTAAGGAAACAGTGAATCTAGGTCGGGCCAGTTTTTCAGGACTCATCAGCAACTGGCAGGGTCCTTTAAAGATGAAAAAAGTGAGGAGAGATGGAGGGAACAAAAAAAGAAAAGAACGTCTGATGAGAGTCAGCTGAAAATAGGCGAGGTTGTCTTAGAAACTCACATGTCTCTGCCTGCGCACTCTGATTTAACTTGGTTACAAAGAAAAAAGAAACACAAGCAGATTCAAAGTTTATTCTGTCGTGTGATGTTGTACAGGATGCAGTTAAAACAAGCACGCGCTCAACGCCTTTTTTACTCAACATCCAACACGAGCTGCTTCTGTTCTTTCAGCCCCGCGTAAAAATAGACTTGAATGCTCTTGTAAATATTTGAAGGAGTGACTGATTTATCTTTTCAGGCAGGTAAAAAGCCTGAAAAGTCGAAGCGTAGCTAAAAAGTAAGTTAAATGTAGCACTCTGTGTGCTCTTTGCATCTAAAAATACCTTGTCTTTCCAATGGATGTCTTACTGTTTGCAGGTTATTGGCTCAACACGAATCAAATCTGAAGTCTTGATTTTGTTTCTTCCTGATATATCTGTTGAATTAAACCTCTATTCACAGGTTCTACATAAACATGTAGGACCTTCAGGTGCTGGCCTGGAATTTATGTTCTGGTTTCTGTTTGTAGTGTAAGTAGTATTGACCAATCATGTGACAACAGGCTTTGGTGTATGCAGGAAAAACAGTCCATATAGAGAACACATCCTGACTCCCATCAGTGTTTCTCTGAATACATTTTATTTACCTCTATTAACACATATCTGCATGCAAGTCCAGCTATCAGTTTATTGTAGATCAAAAATTTGAACTTGAGCGACAAATCTGCTTGGCGCTGTTAAAAGCCAATCAGTGTTTACATTTCCTGACTCCCTTGAATGCATCAAAATGACCGATCCAACCGCCATGAAAAAAAGTTCGATGAAAGTTCTTGTCTTTAATGTCAACCTTATTTTTCCTTTTTGCAATAGTTTTAGGATTCATGTTTTATTTAAAGTGTACATGTGTGTTACAGTCATTCAAAGATAAGGACTAATAGTTCATAAATAAAACTTTTGCCAGTGCCAAGTCAACTAGCAGCTCTTTGTGCCACCCGCCCTGCCCCATAACAGCTATTAGCTTTACAGGCACACACACACACACACACACACACACACACACACACACACACACACACAGACTCACACAAATGGGGCAGGACCATCTTCCAAACCTCTGTATCAGCAGATAGCTGCTGAGTGAGATCAGCTGTTGAGCATCCAGCTAAGAGAATCAGCCAACCACAAAAGCCTCAAGGCCAGGACATTAAATCTCACACACACACACACACACACACACACACACACACACACACACACACACACACACACACAGAGCTGCCCCACCCTTGAATGAGAGATTGCCTCTATTGTGAACTGATGCTTTGAGCTCAGGTTGGTAATTAGCCTTTAACTCAAATACTAAAAGCATGTGTTAGTGTTGGGATGTCAGTGGAGGCCATTTAAATAGAATGTCTCTGCTTGTCTTGCAACAATGAGTAGATTTATCAGCTTGGAAATGTCGTGTCCAGTATATATTGTGGTTATCGTTATGCAAGTTCAAGTTTAAAAAGAGATCGCTTAAAGTTTGGTTCACACACATTAATATGAACTAGTTCATGTTCATAGTCCACAATTCAAATGAACCAAGTTCACCGTAAGTTAGTGTGAATTCTTTTGGACTGCGTTTTATGATTGTTTGTGAATATAATTTTTTATTTATTTTTAGCTGCCATGACTACATGCCTTACTTCCTTCCCTTCTTGAAGTCATCATTCACTTGCCAGTTTACCAAAATTAAGGCCATAAACTATCTACTATTGACATTTCTTAGTTTTATAAATACCACAAGGATTGATTTTGTAATCGGTACATGAAAGGACAAAGGGGTGTTTGCTCGACTGTAAATTATTAGAAATAAGTCAACATACATAATAATCCCTTTCACTTTACAGGCTCTTTGCCATGCCTATACAGAGATAGTTTGAGTTGTTATACAGGTTTTGGGGATTTCAGGAAATTATGTTATTTATATTGAAAGCAGGTGACCAGGTGCTCGTGTGATCAGGAGAAAAATAGGAATAACTTGTTATGATAATGATTCAATAAAAATGGTTTAATCGATTCCAGACACCCGTTTGGATACATGGCGTTACAGAGTGCCCCTCCTCCAACGAATGTGATTTAAAAAGAAATATATAACATTGTGGGAAAACACTGATGCATTATGTTACATTCTTTTCTGGGACTGAAGTGTTGTGATTTCATATTATCACATGGTGATGAACCTGAAAACTTATTAAAGCAGGATCAACTCTATAATACAAAATGTGTTCCTCCTCTCTGGTCTTCTACATGAGTTGATTCAGAGATTAAACCTCCAGCCTCGGTGGAACAATAAGCAGGAAATATCAAACAATGAACTCCGGTGTGCAGTACTGATATGAAAACTAATCAATGCAGATAAACAGGGTGTAAGTTAGTGTCCTGGAAACGCTCAATATAGGATGATAGAGAATCTTTACAGATATAAATTCAGCAGCTGTTAGCTACAGTCAGTGTGTGTGTGTGTGTGTCTTTTTGTGCCGGACAGCTGCCGTGAGGGATGACTTAACAATCATCAATCAGCAGCTTCTTAGTATGTGTGTGTGTTTCTCGTGTATGTGTTTGTGACTCACATCAGCCCGCTCTTTTGTTCGTGTTCGTGCTGCCGGCTGCCTGCAGATGTCCGAACAGTAATTGGCACACGTGGAGGGAGCAGGTGGCACAACACAACCCCTAACATGTCCTGTACGGGATGGTGAGGTGAGCGGCTGCCAGGCCCCTCCCCTTCCTCCCCAGAGAGAGATAGTGTGTTAAATGTGTGCCAAAGTCAATCCAGAATGAGTGTGACTACTTAGCATATGATTATTCCAATATAGGGCCTTTTTGCTTTCCCATCTTCCCTTGAATGGTAGTGATGCCACCAACACACACACACACACACACACACACACACACACACACACACACACACACACACACACACACACACACACACACACACACACACACACACACACACACACACACACAAGACACACTTCCCCAGAGAGGGTCTTGTGTGTTTGATGCTGTTTGATGTGGCCCGCCTGTTTTAATCTGCTTATAATCATTCAACCCCCTGGCAGAAAGTGTGTGTGTGTGTATGTGTGTGTGTTTGTAAAGAAGCCAGTATGTGTGCACGTGTGTGTGTGTGTGTGTGTGTGTGTGTGTGTGTGTGTCATTATCCTACAATCCAGGATAATGGCCATGTCTTAAGAGGATTCCTGCCATATCCTTAAGATTCTCCGCTCATATTTAAAATCCCAGAGTTTAAAGTCAGATATAAATCGGATACAGACGCAATCCTTTAAAACTCTCAGTAATTCCTGATAAAAAAAAAGCACAAATTATACCTCTGACAGCACACAAAACACAAAAACATGTGTTATTATTTCATATTAGTGGAGGATTAGTTTACAAGGGACTTAAAAAAAACAAACAGGCACTGAAACAGATATTTTAGCCTTAATAGATGTAAACACAATGTTATCCCCACCCAGGGCATAATTGATTCTCCAATAAAGATTCTCCCTTAATCCCTCACTGGCTGTCTGAGCCGTGCAGGTTTTGTCATCCACTGAGCTGTAATTAATACTGAGACTGTCCATTAGAGGACTCAATTTGGAATATATTTAAATGTAATATCTCTTAACAGCTGCCTGCTCTTAATTACGAGGGTCCAGATGCTTTTTTTTAACGGTATGAATATGAAATAAGGTATTTCGTTTTTTGTGATGAAATGGCTCGTTAAATGAGAACACTGGTGTAATTTTCTTATAATTGGTTTTAAGAAACTGATGCAATTGTTTGAGAAAGAAAGCCTAATTTAACTAAGGACAGTTATGGAAATGTTATAAATAGACCCATGATTTGTCGCAGTGTTAAAAATGTTTTTTTTGTGTTTTTTTTACACATTTTATCCATCTGCTAGTATTTGAAATTCTGCCATTTCTTTGTTTTGCCTTTTTTTCACATTCTTCTTTTTTTGGGGGGTTAAAAGTGCCCAAGGCAGAGCAATATGCTCGCGGCCGTCCTCTGGAGGGCGGCTTGGCTGACCTTCAAGAGGACATCTCCGAGAAGGCAGAAAGAGGCGATTGTAATTGGGGTTGAAAACAGCTTAATTAGCTGATAATGATATGATTACTGATTGCATATGAAGAATGATGGCTATTCATCAGCCCTGGTTAGTGAAGGCCTGATTCTGTTACAGAGCCACATCATTTCTTCCAAATCACTTTGAACTTGTCTGCTCATTAACATGAGCACAATATTCTTGTATTTCTTGACCTGATCAGTGTAAAAGTTAATTTGGAAACATTTGTGTTTCTTTAGACTTAAGCTCAACTTCATCAACAGTCAAAAATGGAGTTCATCACTCATGTTTCTCCTTATTTGGCTGTAAACAAACGTGTTCTAAAGCTGTCAGTGTTTGGCTCTGAAACAGATCGGTACCAATCACAGAGCTGGGACTAACAGTTGTGGTTGGAGGGTATTTAATAGTTGGCTCTGCTCAGCTGCTGAGGCCCCGCCACATAAACCACATACCACAGACAGACAGACAGACGGGGCTGGGTCCCAGTCAGAGGGGGTGTGGGTGGTTCATTTTAAAGGGGGTTGGTGTTTGTGTGTGTATCTGTGCCAAGACAAGTCATGATAACATCTCCAGACTATATTACCCATCCTCTAAAACAAAAAACATCCCCACAACACACCACTTTAACTTTTTACTCTGAGTATGTTCCCCATCCACCAAATGGAAACCAGTCCTCATACACAGTGTCTGAGACTCCTATCATGAACGTGTTATCAGGAGATGATGCAGACATAAAGATACACAAACACCCCAGGAAAAGCTGTCAAGACGGCAGGAGCCAGAGTGGCCCATTTTCTCCCTCTTCTCCCTAATGAGAGCCATAAAGAGCGTGAGGCATCAATATTTCAGCTCTCGCGTCAGGCAGGCAGCAATACTTCCCTTTGATGAGGCTCACCAGAGGTGTTTTGTTTTTCGCCTGGCTGCCACTTAGGTAATACGTGATTTTCAAGAAGCCAAAGCTTTGGACTGCAAATTTTGTTGTTAGATTGTGGTTTCTTGGAGAAAATACTTTGAGTGACAGCTAGAGTTTTTTTTCACTGTTTTAGAAGAATTGGTGGACTTGTCACTTCAGTTATAGGTTCAGTTATAGTTTAGCTCTATTTTGATTACAACTTCGGCCTAATTTGCACTTATTTTTAGCCAAGCTTGCGGCATAACTTAAGGGCTAGTGCTGTCTGTTGGTCCGGTTGGTAACCCTAATGCTACCACATCATTATTTAGTATTTAGTTACTGTAAGCATGCATGAGTGTAAGCATAACTAGATAGTGTACTGACAAACATCCTACCTCTTCCAGCATCTGTATGTCTGCTTTGAGATTGTTAGCAAGTTAGCGTGCTAACATTAGCACTAGTGCTTTGTAATAAAAACCTTAAAGAGCAGCTAGCAAGATGTGATTTTTCCCTGCAGCACAACAACAAAATATATTTAAAACTTCGCCTTGCAAGCTCTTGAAACAGCACATTATATGTCACAGAGATGTAATGGTATAAATGATACTCACACGGGCCAAAACAATATTAGAGTGAAACAACGCGCTATGAGGTTACTGGAAAGTGACTTTATTCACTACTTTACTCCCTCTATTCAAACACAAAATGTCATTGAATTTTATATTCTAATGAAATGTAACTTTGAGTCAAAAATGACACCGTTACATTTGGTTAAAACTATTTAGTCATTACCTTCTATCGAAATTAAGGCTGTCATGACATCTGTCAGGATCTTGGTGGTAGCTCTTAAACAGTGTTAGAAGTTAGAGAAAGTTAGAGATTAGAAGTCATTTAAAGATAAATATATAAGTAAAAAGCACCTTATCAGAATAGGTATTTGAAAACCCCTAGATTTCTGACCACACATCCCAGCTAATCACCTCATCACATCACATCACATCTCAGCTAATCATCGCCGTGGTTACAGCACTGTCTTGTCCTAATCATTTCATTCCAGTTTGAAACTCATACATTTCCAGCTCACAGTAAGGCAGCAGGATGTTGATGGAGTACTTCCCTCGTCTCCCTGTGGGGTTTTGGGTTAGATCAGTCTGCTGCTGCAAACCGAAGCCGGGCAGACGTCTCTAAATGAGCTCTAAACGCCGTCTGTTGTTACCCCGCTTTGGGAGTGTCCCACTGGGGTCGCTTACTGGAACAGCATGGGCGTCTGCTACTGGAGTCTACAGTTGCACTGATGCATACCAGCTGTATCTGCTCGTCATTTACACTGATAGAAATCTTTCTTAAAACTGTGCATTATTGCTCTGGTTGAAGTTCTGGTGATGGAAGTGGTGGACTTCTTCAGGAAGCTTAAAGCTGTGTTGGGCATCCTCGGATGAATCCCGGTGAGATGTGAGCACATCGAGAATAATTTAGATGGCCGTTGGAAGTTTTTCAGGACTTTTCTTCCTGCCCAGGGATGTTTTGATGAAGGGCTTCAAACTTCAAAGACTCACTTCGTTTCATAAGTGCAAGACACAAGTGCGTGAACGCTAATGACCGGGAAAGTTTGCCTGTGCACACTTGTCCTTGTGGAGCATTTATTAAAGGTGTGTGTGTGTGTGTGTGTGTGTGTGTGTGTGTGTGTGTGTGTGTGTGTGTGTGTGTGTGTGTGTGTGTGTGTGTGTGTGTGTGTGTGTGTGTGTGTGTGTGTGTGTGTGTGTGTGTGTGTGTGTGTGTGTGTGTGTGTGTGTGTGTGTGTGTGTGTGTGTGTGTGTGTGTGTGTGTGTGTGTGTGTGTGTGTGTGTGTGCGCGCTTTCAGGTGGACGAGCTGTATGAGGCCTTTTGCATCCAGAGCCGTCTGAGGGAAGGTGCCAGTCGGATGAAGCAGGCTTTTTCATCCTCTCCTTCCACTAAAGGCACGAAGGAGAGCATCGCAGAGGTCAACCGGCGCTACAAGGAATACACTGAGGTACAGGCATAGATTTAAAAATAATAATAATAATAAACCATGTTTTTATTAAGACTTTCAGAAAGTTTTTACAGAATATAAAGAACAAAGTAAGACAGAAAAACAAAACAGGGCTTACATTGCAGGACATTATGCTACATTGCATCACTAGCACAATATTTCTTCAGACAAACGTTTAAAGAGAGGTAAGCAGTGAGCAGTAAAATCAGTTATTGTCCGGGAACTCTGTTCAGTCGGGGAAAGATAATCAAAAAAATCATACGTGTTCACATTGTCATACAAAGTGAACCTCTTTACACAGTTTTTCTGCATTATGCAAGATTATACATTAAACAATGAACACAGGTTTAGATCAGTGCTAATGATGTCATTCATAAACACTGACATGTGTAGTCACATCTCAGGGAGAACAAACCCTATAATCCCAACAACACAAACAAACTGTCATCACCTTTCTTAAGAGCTTATACCAACTATCACGCCTCTTTTCGAGGTCAGTGTTGACATACCCTGTGTTGACATGAGTCCCTCATGATAAACTTGATCACTGATGTTGTTCCTGTCTTGTGCAACAAAGAGCTGCTCATGTAATCAGTCTGATCTCTTGTTTGTCTCTAGAACATGGGCACGTTCGAGAGCGAGCTGGAGAACTTGCTCGGGGAATTTCACATCAAAATGAAAGGTGAGATAAGAGTGAATCCATTCAGAAAGAGATTTTCAAGATAATCCTGGACCGAGTGGGAAACGCTGTACCATGTTTCAGAGTTTCCCTACATTTGATCCAGACAAGGGAAATGTAGTTATTAAAAGTCATTAAATTAATGATCCTGTGGGGTTTTCAGTAACACAATATATACTTATTATTTATCAGTGTCCTGTCCAATCAATGTCCTCTCTCTGACAGGTTTGGCAGGCTTTGCTAGGCTCTGTCCTGGAGACCAATATGAGGTAACTTTATTTCTTATAAATCAGGGCTGCTAGAATCCTAACTTTCAAATTTGAATTTCATATCATGCAATTTTACATAATGAAATATTTAATGTGAATATTTGTGACAGGATATTTTTATATGTTATTCTACAAATAAGTGTCATTATATCTACATTTTCATCATTTTTACACTTGCTTCCTTCCTTCAGATCTTCATGCGGTACGGTCGTCAGCGGTGGAAGCTGAAGGGAAGGATTGAAGTGAACTCCAGGCAGAGTTGGGATGGAGAGGAGATGGTCTTCATGCCTCTCATCACCGACCTTATTAACATCAAGGTGATGGAAAAACTCCTGATAAAACAATCTTTAATGCCTATAATGTTATACTTAAGTCGATGAATGCAGCGCAGGGTGAAGAAAGGAACGATATAAGCAATAAGCAATCTTTTGTCCACACTCAGGTGACTGAGCTGAAGGGTCTGGCCACACACATGCTGGTAGGCAGTGTGATCTGTGAGACCAAGGAGCTGTTCACCGCCATGCCTCAGGTGGTGGCGGTGGACGTCAACGACCTTGGGACCATCAAACTCAATCTGGAGGTCACCTGGTAGTAAGTAGACATTTATACATACATGGACCGCTAACTTTTTTTATTATCATGCTTCTGTGAAACTTTAGACCGTTTCATTATTTATTTTGTACTCAAGTCTTAGTCACATTATCAGTTGTGTTCTGCCCTCTGGTGGTGAAACATGGTCATTACAAGTTATAAAAGTTAACGTCATCTTATTTATTTATTATGTTAAACCGTGTGAGGGATGTCCACTGTGGAGGAAAAGGAGGTCGACAGACTGTAATGCAGCGGTCACAAATGTGCCTCTTTTTTTTTTTAATTCTCCCCTCTCCAGTCCTTTTGATGTCGAGGACCTGACTCTTTCATCTGGGAACGTGAGCAAAGCTACTGCGCTCCAGAGACGAGTGTCTGTCTACAGCCAGGGCACACCGGAGACCCCCACCTTCCAGGACACCTCCTTCTTTGTGAGTCCAACACACTGAACACCTTGAGCTTAAACTAGTTTTTGTTCATCTCAACCTCGGCTACACAGATACCCACATTTATATATTTTTTTATGTTTATAAAAGGGTTAAATAGAGGTGAAAGACATGTTGCACACATCTTAAGTCCATGCACACTAACCTGAATATGCTCCCTGCTACATGATTTTACCTACATTTTTTTTTTTGCTGATACACCATGCTTATATGAGCAACGCTAGTGCTGCCCCTAAACTAACCCCCACCAATTTACCCTGCTATCCTCACTCTCCTTTTGCATCTCCACTTCAACTCCCCCGTACCCACACTCTGTCCCACTTTGCTTGTTTATCCATCCCCTCCTGTCTCTCACTCACTTTGCCCTCACTCACTCAAATACCCCAACACCTCGTCCCCACTTGCCTGCGTGCATTGTGTAAAGAAGTGGCGGCCATATCCCGTGGAGCGCCAGCGCCCCTCCTTCCTGCACATGCTCCGCGACACCCTGCTTGAGAAGCTGAGGCGCAGTCGCTCGTTTGGTGACCTGGCCTCTCTGCGGCCAAGGCCCAAATCCAGTCTGGAGGTCTATGTGAGTGTGTTGTGGCCCCCCCCCCGACCCCTCCTTACCTGACTTTTGTGTGCCCCCCGGATGGACTCTCCTGTGGGTGCTGACACATTTGTCCCATTGAGTGGGCTGCAGAAACACTTTTGTGGCTCTTTGCATGTTTTATTTGCATGACAGGCTTCACTGTTGGTGTTCCTTTTTTTTTAAATCTTATTTTCAGTTTTATTTTGTGGTGATTTATATCTCAGCTGAACAGATCCAGTCACAAGAATTAAGAGAGAAATGTGGAGTTAGATTGTTTTTTTGTGAGGCATGTCTGTCTTCTCTCGTTCCAATTTTTTTCTCTTTTTAACTTTCCATGCACTGATTTCAAACTATCCAGTGCCTTGCATAAGCATTCACCCCTCCTTGGAGTTTTTCACATTTGCAGAAAAAAAAGGAAATTTGTTTTAATTGTTGTGCTGTTTGATTAAAAACAAGTGCAGTCCAAAAATGAAAAAAATCAGTCAGATGTGCACATCAACATAAGGCAGTTGGTTTCAGGGGCTTGTCTAGACATTTTTGAACGGGGGCCCCAACTGGGGTTCTGAATTATGCGGTGGTGGCATAAAGGGCACACACACATGTCCTAAAAGTATTCTGTCCCCACAAATTATGTAATCTTTAACTGCTAACATTAAGGTAAAATACATTTTTATTAATTGCTCTTTTTTTTTTGGCAACAAATATCCTTTTAATGCTTCATTTCTAAGACCTCAAAAGAAGACGCATTTCCAAATCTGGTAAAGTCAAAACCACCAAAAAGCTACAGCCTGTTTCAACACAGCCTGGTGAGTTTGTATTAACTTCTGGCCTGCCTCTCATCAGGAAGCTTGTAATCATAGTTTAAATTTATTTAGCACTTGGAGGGCCGATCATATTTCAGTGGTCCCATAAAACCCCAAGCCAACCCCTGGATATGCCCCTTAAGCTTTTTAAGGAGTCCACATTGTAGCACAAAAAGCCTTACATATTATTATTTTTTATTTATTTTTAAATTGAATACCATGTCATAACTCCCCCTCCCAATGAAAGACTATTTTGTGTTAGTCCAGCACATGCAACCCTGTTCTTTGTGCCGATGTAACATGATAACTTTTAGGAAGATGAGTCGGTGAATACTTTTGCCATGCACTTTCTCTTCGTTTTCATTTTCCAACTCTTTAGTCACACATATTCATCCTCCTGTCTCTCCTTTAAGGCCACTTTACCAGACGACGTCTTCGAGAACGGTGGCTGCGGGGTGGCCGAGTGCAAGCGTCTCTCCTTCACCTTCTCCGACACCTCTGGTTCCACGCCCAGCCCGAGCCCCGCCCCCAGTTCCCACTCCCAAAGCCAGTCCAACCCCAGAGATCACGGTCACTCCTCCAGAAACAGAGGCACTTTCTTCACATATCCTCCCAACGAGGGAAGACTCTATCGCAGAGGAGCATTTAGAGGAGGAAGATGAGGAGGAGGAGGAGGAGGAGGAGGGGTATGAGGAGGAGGATGGGGAGACAGGGAGCAGAGGAAGTAGGGGCACAAGCGGCAGCCTTGCCAGCAATGAAGCCGAGGTGGCGGAGGACTCGGAGTGGGAGAGAACAGAGTCACAGAGAAACTCTGGGTCTAACTGTGGATCAGCTGCTCCGTCGTTGCTCTGCTCCGACAGTCACCTCTCCACCGTGGCTCCTGAGGACGTTTTCTTTGACCACGCCGATGAACTCAAACCCGTGGAGTTGGACACGAGGAGGCTGGGAGTCTGACCCGGCAGCTTGTGAAGAGGCTGACCTCTTCAGAGATCGTGTCGTCGAGCGGAAGCTCTACGGAGGGAGGAGGAGGAGGGAGTCTGAGCTGGGCCGGAGAGGGGAGCAGGGCCTTCCTGGAGAGCAGCTTGGAGGAGGCCATCCACAGCCTGTTAATGAGACTCGAGTCACTGACCCACCGCTGCAGCGAGCTGCAGGACCTGGAGCAGGAAGTGATGCGTCTGGAGGATCTGCTCAAGGTGACTGACTCCCCCTCTGTCCTTTTTTTTCTAATGACTTTGAGTAAAAAAATGCTTAAATAGGACAGGTAAACAAAACTTTTAAAGTTGTTTTAGAAACTACACATACGAGCATGTATTGTGTACTACTTAGTTATTTTATGACTACTTTCAAGTTAAAGTCTTTATATGTGATTTTTCACACTTCAATGTAATATAAATCAAGTATCTCCTCTGAAAATAACTCTGTGAGTCATGACTGTCTACAATGGGTGTAACACCCGAGTCCCACTGTCTGTGATGTTTTCAGAGTTTTCAGAGTCTATCTTCAGTTTGTTTACATCGCCTGGACGGCCGGCTGACTCCTCACCTCGTGTATAAAAGTTGTTTAATTGAGGGACTAGAGAAAAGAAGAATAACATACTGTACTCACTGCTTAACTGTGTTTCTAGATCACGCTCATTTCAGGTAAATTTACATGCAGTGTGAAGATACAAGCATAATAAAGATCGCTAGCATTAGCATGCTAACACAAAATGCACCGCAAGTTGTTTTTGTTTCATGCTGGTGCTCAAGGGCGACATCTGCTGGATCAAAAAATCACATATAAAGCCTTTAACCAGCAGAACTACAACTATGAAGGGTGAGGGCTAAACATAAGGTTGTTTTTTCTGTCAACAAATGTTTGTTTTTGTCTCTTATTTAAAATCATTGTACATTTTTATTTGTTATTTCCCCGACCCCCACTTTGGGGAACCACTGTTGTAGACAGAGTTAGTAAAATTTTCTCCTGGATTTCCAAAATGAGTCGTTTTTTTTAATCCATCGTCTCTTCTTCCCACCACCCTTTCCTTCTCAAAGTGTCGTCTCCCGGGTCACAGGAGCCGCTCCTCCAGCCTCAGTCTGACGGTGGAGAGCGCTCTGGAGAGCTTTGACTTCCTCAACACGTCCGACTTCGATGACGAGGACACTGGAGACGACAACGCCATCCTCTGCCTCCCACAGAGGTCGCCGCTTTTTGATACAGACGGGGAAAGAATCGGGTGAGTGGACGACAGAAAACCATGCCGTGTGTCGGCAGACATTGGCACCAAATAAACTTTGTTAATGTGCTATTGAGGTTGCTGCTATTTAGAAGCCTCTAAATTGACAATGGAAATAAAATAGTGTTAAGTGTTGGTAGGGAAATGTGTGCTTTGTTTTAAAGTCAATAAATGTTCAGATGTTCATTCATGAAAGCACTGGTTTTCAAGTACTGTATGTGCTATTAAAACACTAGACAGACAGAGAGAGAGAGAGTGATGTGTTATTCTGCCCCCTGTGGTGAATCTGGGTATTTCTCTCTCTCAGTGGGCAGCATCCAGAAGCCAGAGGACACCTGAGTGAAGCCCTGACAGAGGACACAGGAGTGGGAAACAGCGTGGCAGGAAGTCCCCTGCCGCTTACCACGGGGAACGAGAACCTGGATGTAGCTATTGTCATCCACCTCCAGTACTGCAATCACATCATACAGGTGAAGCTCACATCTTACATCATGCTGTTTAGTTAGTAAGTTATATACTGTATTAATGGTTATAAATGACATGTATTCATCTTTTTCTAACAAGTGAGAAGCCTACAGAAGAATAAAACATGTCTTTTGTTTCTCTTGTGATTGCAGTTGTTGAGCGGTGGGGTGAGTGTGTGGCAGCGTCGCAGTCTCCTCCTCAAACTCTCTGCACAGACTCAGCTGTTAGAGGAGCTGGCAGAGATCAGTGTGGACAGACTGGGAGCGATCACATCTGCTGCTGACGGTAGGTGGAAACCAGGAAGCTGTATGGCTGTGTTTCTACAAGTTGTAACTCTAAAGCAGTCTGTGTTTCATATAGCTGTGTATTTAGATTAATGCCATGCAATAAAAAAAATACTTTCTGCTCTGAGGGTTTTGTAGCGTCTGACCTTGTCTTCTGTCCTCGTCCTTCCCCAGTCCTCCCGGGCCTGGCTGAGCGCCCGCAGCTGATGACTCTGTGGTCAGAGTGCAGCGGGTCTGCAGGACTTTTCCACACCACGCTGGACCGAGTGTTCAAACATATGAACCAGCACTACACTGCACTGCTGCAGGACAGACACCCACACAGTGCTCACACAGGTTGGATAATGCTTTCTTTCTACAAACAAGCCAGAGGGTTCTCTTAAAATAACAGCTTTTTTTTTTTTATTGCCAACATAGTCTTGTCTGTGTGTTTGAATAACTGTTAGATTCAGAGAAACTGATTTGGTTTGTAAATCATTTTTAAAAAACTGTGCCTGAGGGGAAATGAGATCATTGTAGTTACTAAGAATATAATGTGGTTATAAGGAATAAACACTTGACTGGTTAAGTGAAAGGGACTGCGTAGCCAAAGCTATTTTAAGTCTTGTCAGTGGGAGTACATTTTATAGTAAAGCTGGATTTTTATAAAACGACTGAAATGAGGAAAGAAAATCCTTCAGATGGAAACGTTGCCCTGTTTAAAATAAAGTTGCTCATCAGGAGCTGAACGATGTGAGGACCTTCTCCATCTGCAGACGTTTTGTCCCTCTGAATGCTGGTCCATAAAAGTATCATCTAGTATCCACATTAAATGGCATGTCACAGTCGCTGTTAACAATTGCTCATCTTTTTAGTTTTAGTTGTATTTGTTGTCTCTTTTAAAGCCTGCAGACTCAAACTGCTGATCAGTGCAATGCAGGCTGAAGAACATGTATGTGCTGGGTTGAAGTAGTGCAGAGTAGTACCAAGTGGCTTGCTGAAACTAAAATATAGTGCAAAAAGATTTCTTGATTTAGTGTACACTTACATGGTTATTGATATTAAGGTCGGTTATTCCTCAAATTTCCTTAGTATGTGGTACAAAATGTCCCTGTATCTATTTGTGTACAGCCTGGCCTCCATGCTGACATTATGAGCAACTTTATTTTAAAACAGGGCAACGTTTCCATCTGAAGGATTTTCTTTCCTCAATTCAGTTGTTTTTATAAAATTAAGCTCTGTGGTAAATGTACTTAGATAATTTCCACCACTGACAGTAAGGCTATTAATGCAAGACTGAAGCTTGTATTCATTCTTGTTATAGTAAATGAATGCAGTTTGTACCTGAGTCTCTAAAATTGATTATATTAAAGAATAGTTACATACTACATACACTACTTGCACACTACTACATACACTACTGAACAAAATTACACAAATAGAAGGTTTGTGAAGTCAGAAGCTGGATGTCATCTGTCTTACGTAAGTTGTCCAGATATTTATAAAACATATAAAAACTGATTTCTTTTTGTGTTCCCCAGTGATTGGTATCGTAGTGGGCGAGATGGTGGACAGGAGCGACCTGGTGTCGGCACAAAGTCCTCCAGCCGCCGCTCTCTCTCAGGACGTCCTGACTGTGTTTCAGTTCCACAGCTACATCCTCCAGCATGAAGTTCAGGACATGGAGACACACCTGCTGCACCTGGCCAGAGAGGGTAAGCTGCATAAGAATCTTTTCTGCTCAGATCTTTTTTTATTCTGCTTTATGTGCCGATCTACACCTCTTTGCCACAGAGTTGTTTAAATCCAGCAGAAGGATCAAATCAGATTTCACTTTTATAATTAAGACCAATTGACATCATAAATAACTCAAAAAATGCCACGTGCAGCTGAAATCTGTATCTGACTGTAACACAGGTGGTGGGATACAGGCCGAGTTTGAACTAGAAATAGCTGAACAATGGTGAACTTTACATACTGTATTTCCCTCACTGAGAAATTCAATTTTTCTCTGTTAAAAACAAACAAACTCAAAAGATATCAATTTGGGATAAAGTAGGTTAAGTTATACAAAAAAAGCTCCTGCATTAGATTCTCTGCACATCAGTTTCAAATGTTTCTGTGTTTGTGTCGCGTTCAGAGCTGTTTGCGGAGGCTCTACACAGTGGAGACTCTTCCTGCTGTCTAGCAGAGATGGAGGAGGTGCCCGTGTCCTCTCTGTGGCCGACCAGCAGCACCCTGAGGGCCCTGGCCTCCCTGCTCACAGCGGAGGACCCTCAGGTCAACACGGCAGCAGCCGACTACCTCTCTGCAGGAGCATCACGCAGCCACTTCAGGAACAGGGTGAGTGGTACTAAAGGGGGGGGGGTGTTTGACAGATATGTGTGTGTTTGTTTGTTGAGGGGTAAAACATCTTAAATAGTTTTGACAGATGCCCATAGCCATGTCTGAATGTTTGTGTGTGTGTTTGCAGGCGGTGGAGTGCTACACTCAGGCGCTGTCGGAGGCTGGAGGTCAGAGCCAGAGGGCGGCCTGTTCAGCACTGAGCTGCTTGCAGGTCAGTGACCTCTAAAAGCAGCTATACTGTCTGAAACTGTGAAACTCGGAGCCAGTTTGAGGCTCAGTAAAGCCTCTTTTTTTTTAACATTGGCATAACATGCCATGTCCATTTAAGGAGTTTATGCTTTTGTTATTCTCATGTTTTAGCGGCCATGAGACGTGTGACTCCAGTATAAATCTGTAGACTGTATAGAGAGTAGGGTGTAAACTATTATCCTTTCACTTTACAAGTGGCATGAAGTGTGCATGTTCTATGGAGGTGGACCTGGAGTAGATTTCTGCTTTAAATTGATTAAAAAAACATGTCTAGCCGTTCAACACTGGGAAGTAATGTGAACTAGCAGCTAATGCCTAAATCATGTCATCATTCTAATTAAAAGTATTACACACGTTACTGTATTTTATGATTGTTCTATGATGATTTTAAAAACGAGACCCAAGAGTACAAATGACAAGGTCAAGGTATTTGTCAGGGCAGAGGACAAACTAATGTTTCCACTTTATCTTAATTGCTATCCTGCCAAACATTATATTATGTATGCCTAAAGAGCTATGTAATAGTTATAAAAATGATTTTCTGTATAAAAAAGACACAATTACTTTAAATTAGCCAATTGCTTTGTGTATGTGTGTGTCTTCTATCTACTTTGACAAGTAGCCTAGCCTTCTCACAGAGCTTTCTGTGTCTGTCTGTAGGCAGTAGAAAGCATCAGGGCAGTTGTAGCACTCTGTGACTCAGCTGATGAAGAGCTTCGCCATGTCGCCATAGAAACCCTGCTCACATTTGGTGAGTTACAAATGAATGAAAATCAAATCATCTTTTTTTTTGTACCCCTTGAAAACTTGTACTTCTTTTGTTTATTCCTGAACTGTATTTAATTATATAACTGCCATAAAGTTTACAAATACTGATATGATGTATTTAAATGTGATGTGTACAGCATCCCCAGGCAAATTTGCTTTAGAATAGAATAATAGAATAGAATTACTTTATTGATCCCAAACTGGGAAATTGTGTTACAGCAGTAGGTTGTCCAAACACACAATATTAGCAAATAAACACAATATAATATTAAATACAAAGTAAATAAGCACTAAAAATATCAAAACTAAGAATGGGAATATATACAACCAGGATTTAACTAAGCATTACTAAATAAATCTTCTTAAATATGGAAGATTAAATGTAAATGTGCAAAAACAGAGTAGTAAATGGACAGTATTGACATAAGTTAAAGTGCATGAGTGTAGACATATTATAAGCAGAAACTATAAATGTAACGGCGAGTAGACAGCCAAATGAAGTGAACATGAGTTAGTTTGTTTATTTTTAGTGTTGATTATTCAAACGATATAACCCTCTATTGACAAAGTAAAAGTACAAAGGGGGGGGCTAACATTTACAAAGCCCTGCACAGCTCAGGTAAGAAAAAAATCCGAAGCCATTTGTAAATCCATTCCTGCAGTTTACAAATCTGTGCGCACGGTTTATAATCTGTGCCTAAAGATTTATAATCTATGGGCACTTTTTTGCAATGCAAATATATGCTCACAGTCCATGAAAACCTGCCGACAATTTGCAAAACTGTCCACACACTTTAGAAAACTGTACCCACAGATTGCAAATTTGTACGCATGGATTTGTAAACTGTGGTATTAAAAACAGCTTTTTCGTTTTACCTTACCAGAGCTTTCGTTGGCTCATAAACTGATGAAGTTTTTAATGCTGTTAATTAATACAATGATGTGTTCCCATACCTAATCCACTTTTGTTGGACTATTTTTCAAGTGCATTTTAGTATATTGCTTTATGGTTAACAATTGTGTTGGTTGCAGGTGAGGAGGGGCGTCTGGCGTACGAGCAGCTGGACACAGTGCCGAGGGAGATTATCCGTCTGGGCATGCGGCGAGGAAACGCCGTCACCACTGCCTTCTGAGCCACTGTGCCACCAGAACACACAACAGATCACATCTCAGCCCAGACTCTGAGGGCATCACTGCCCCTCGGCTTCACCTCCACACCGCACCGCACACCTCACAGGGCTGTTAACGACTGATCACTTTTTTTTTTATTAATCTGTTGATTTTGGCACAGACTAAACAATCTCCACTATAAGATCACTGTTCTTACTTATACTGCTTCCTGATAGGAAATAACACCAAATAAACGATCTTAACCACAAAGACACACACAACCTATAACCCTCCTGCACACAAACACACACCCCTCATTCCCCATCTTCTCCATCCCCCTCCTCAACCTCTCCCTGCCTCCTGAGCCAGGCAGACCGCTCACGTTGAATTTAACTGGATTACACGAGTTTGACTGGATGACAAAGCCGATGAAAGTCACTTCAAAGACTCTGGACACCAGAACTTGAGAAATGCATCTTCACATTACCTTTTCCAACGAGCTATCAACCACTGCACACAACACTTGTATCACTTACTCAGATTAATTATCATCTTGATTGTTACACAGTTGGTTGTGTCAGGCAGTATTCTAACTTTGATCTTTGTATAATCACTGTTTATCAAGTTTTAGTTTGTTGTTTTTTCGGCGCTTTCGAAAGATTTGCACTGTTGTAAAGCATGTAAATATGGCATATTTTACACCGCTGGTGTAATATATGTGCTTGTATTTAAGGTACTTTTTTTAAGTTCTGTTTTCTAGTACGTTCCATTTTTGAGTTTCAGGGATTCTTGTATGGCTGAAGGATGTGTGTTTTGTGGCAAGGAGGACCATAAATATGTTGAGAATGGCTTTTTTAGGGGAAGTGGTGCAGTTTAAAAAATCCCCAGTTTACGCTTGGCTATGCTAAGCTAAGCTAGTTGAGGAAAAGATTAAAAACACTGGTGAAAGAGGTCAGCACAGTACCCTCAAAACTCAGCAGTTTATATCAGATTTTTCTCATACTTGCAGTTGAACAAGTGCAATTTTTTTGTACATACGTGACTCTTATGCACCGAGTATTTGATAAAGTTAGCTTCGACCATCTGAGCCTTGATGTGGTTGAGCTGGCGGGCTCCACAAGTTCACCCTTTTTGTAAATGTGTTTTTTCCTAGCAGGTACAGAGCCAGTCGAGGGCAATAAACTGTGGTTGAGGATGATGAATTTTCTCACAACTGTACAGAGAGTTTCAGAGTTGGTTGTGTTAGCCTATATTTAGGCTAATTGCACATTCATTGAGTTTTGTGAGCTAGTAGCAGGACAAGGTATTTTCTTTGAGAAGCAGCAGAATGAAGTTTTTTTGTTTGGTACGTCTTTGGTCTGATTTAAATCCTCACATTCTAACTGTAATGTGGGAAAAACTGACCCGAGGTAAACACCTAGTCCCAACTACTGAGTCTTGTGCTAGTGCACAGCGACAAAACTCACTTTTTGTTCACACGTCGTATTTATTATTCACTCCTTCTTAAAGCTAATATTTTTTTGGGAGCTATACTGTAATAGTGCAGAAGGCATTGTTATGTAAATGAGTTGTGTATTTATGTTCTTTTTGGAGCAGGTCTAGTATTTGAAATATTGTTTATTGTTGAGAAAAAAAAGGACTCCATGTTATTTCCTTGCAAATTATTTAATGCGTGACTTAAATCGGAGTTTATTTTGAATGGATTATAATAGATAAATTATTTTGGAGAATAGTCTGATGGTATGGTAGGTTTCTTATCCCATTAAAGGTCCCAAATTAATGAGACATTATATATTAGAAATGTTACTTTATTACTTAGAGGATTTACTATAACCAAAGGAAGATTTAATTTTTAAACTGGTCTTTTAAAAAACCGCTCATAATTCATTAAGGAGAATGTATTTTCAACACACTATTTGCATTTTTGGCCAGGATACTCAGACTTATCTTTAGAAGCACAACTTAAGACAAACCCATAACATAAGAACGTGTTACATTTGGTTCTAACTGCACAGTCCGAAAGCCATATTGATTAAAAACAAGTGGTAATATTTTTATGAAATGTATTTTTCTTTTGTATTATAACCTGTAAATGTGTGAAGTTGTTACTAAAAGCTGCAAATGTTTTGTTTTTTTTCCCTTACAGCCTTTTGAAAAACATGGTCCATATTTTAAATAATGAATTTTATTTCTTCCATAACGTGAATAGCATTAGAGTATTTTGGTTCAGTATCTATTTCATCCACTCATTCAGTGTTTCTTTCTTGAGTGAGCTACTTTCTTTTACAAACTTGCAGCAGATCAGTGTTAAGATGAGTTGACTTGTTGGCTGTTCAACACTGCTAACTATAAGTTGTCAGAATGTGCACACGAACACATCTAGAGACTTAAATACTCTTTATACATTTGCAGAAATTGATCCTGTTCAATCTCTGTGGTCAATAGCTTCTGTTTAGGTCTATTTAGTTGCATACTATTCTTACCTGCTGTCAGTATTTCCTCTGTTCATTAACAGCAGTTGCAATAAAGTTTATTTTTGCATAATTTAACCAGAAAGTGTCAAATGTCTTTCAACACCAAAGATTCTTGTGCTAGCCTTCTTTGGACTGTTTTCACTCTACATTTGGGGGACAAAGATCTTCATGAGTGGTATACATTCCACTTTGAGGGAAGGCTTAAAGGTCCAATACGTATAGTTACTAAATTAAATCATAAAATTACCTTACTAACTCAGACATTAAGGATAGATGCAATGTTGAAGTGCTGGCTTCTACTACGCAGCAGTCAGTCCTACTTAGTTTGGATTCCAGTGCAGAAAAGTTTGTTGTTGTTCTGACTAGTGCAGGCATCCTCAATACAAGATGATTTTTTGAAAATGCCAAAGCAACAGGTGAAGCAGGCAAGCAAACTGATTGCAAACCTTTTCTACCTGACCTAATAAGCTCCACTAGGATAAATATTTGATTCTCTTATTAAAATGGAGAAAGGTCAGGATGCAGAGGTTTCAAGACTGATGCAAATCTGGCTAAACACTGAAGCTTTGTCCTAGTCACAGCAATGTGTGTGCACATGACTCTAGGGAGGAGGGGGTTGGGGAGACAGCTTAACAATATTTTTTTAACTTTGACTGCAGGACCCATGTTAAATGTTGTGTCAGGCTTTTTAGCAGGATCATGCCAAGTGAGGCAGAGTGGAACATCAGAGTTGTATTTTAGTCACCTTGTTTGCTTTCAGACACAGCTTCAACATGTAGATCTAAAAAGGGTTTATTTTACATGTTTTATGTACAGTGCAATAAAACGCACAAGTTCACATTGTAAACCAAAACACTTGACAGTTGCACCCGACAGGAAAACTGTTTCAGGGCTCACATTCTTGTATTATAATACACAAGGCAGGGATATTAACAATGGCTATGACCAATTGTGTTAGTCCCAGCTACAGTCACTGAAAGACCACATGCACAACACCAGGACCCTGGAACTTGATTTTACTGAAACATTTCTTCTGTGTCTCCAAAATAATCCCTCACTGTCTTATTTGAACATCTTTTACTTCCACAATAACTGACAAGTTTAGAACTAAAATAATAAAATCAGAGCCAATCAGTTTGCTTAAAATATAAAATCAGGGTCAATTCAGAGAATGTACCCATGTCTCTGAAAAGTCAGTCAAGTAGACAGCCATGTTTTGCCAGTAGAGAACCATTCAGTTCAAATGTGCCAACGTATGCACGCAGTTCAAAGTCCTGTTATACACACACGACCAGTTTCAGTCAATCCTGATCTGAGGGTTCAAGTTGTTCATGGTCTGAGGGATCTTCTCTCTCCTCGTCGCTGTAATCCAAGTCGTCGTCCTCGCTTTGAGTTGCAACTTCCCCATTGTCCTCCTGCTCATCATCTGCATCAAGGGCAATATCCCTCAATTCCTCCAGATTGTCAGGGCTCTTTCCAGTCAGCCTCTAGAATGGAAAAAAAAAAATATGACAATATTTCAATCTTAGTGACAAGTACACAGGTTCTTCTGCAGTCTAGACTTATCCATGTAAAGAGAAGTACAGTTGTCCCCTGTCTGAATAGCCTACATTTATGTCCCAGGAAATTGTTTACCTCGATCATATCAGCCATGTACTGGACGTGTTGTGCCAGCTCCTGCAGCTCTTCATTGTCACACTTTAGCTTTGTTATCTGTTCATCTTTGGCCTCGATGTCTTTGTGTAACTGGTAAAAGAATTAAACAAAAACAAGACAGCAGGCTTTAAAAAAAAAAAAAAAGGTAAAGAAAGCAGAATAACAAAACCATTTAAAGAACGTTTACTTTAAGCTGTCAAAAATCATTCAGAACTCTTGTGGGCCGCAAGGTGAAACTTTAGCTCTTCAAAAATAAATGTACAGGTTTTGTAATTACAGGATTTGCCATTAATTTGGTATTGGGTACGCTTCACCTCATGTTACTTCTAAATTCACTGCCACCTGGGCTCAGGCCAGCTAAGGCTGACTCAGTCAGTGGGAGCGTGGGAAAGGCTCAATTTACAGCTAAACATTAGCCGTCTCAGTGATTAGTAACTCACCTTCTCATTCTCCTGTAGAACATTGTACAAGGCTTTCCTCCGCTCCTCAGCTACTTCTTTCCAGTATGTGGAAGGTGGAGTTTCTACAACAACAACAACAACATTGATTTAGGCTCAATGTAAAGTCCAAGTAACTTTGGGGGTCAATTTAAACAATTTAATGAAATCTCCACCTACCTTTGACCATAAGCTCATATGCTTCATTGGAAATGCCATCAGGTGAACACTGAGTTTCTTCAGTTTGTGTGGATTTGACTTCAACCTTCACCCTCTTTGGGCCTCTCATTTGTTCTGCACTCCACTGTTTACGTTTTGGATTGACTTTACCCATCTACAGAGGAAAAACCTCATTAGTGCTCTTGGTTTTTGTTGTTTGGAAACAATAAGACTCTGAGCCTTTGTGTTGGTCAGGTTATGCCATACTTCCCATGGTTTATAAAAAATAAAATAGACATTATAGTCAGATGAAATTACTTCCAGCAAAAAGCTACTGCATACCTGAGCCGACCTTCCCAAGTCTTGGTTGACAGCGGAGAATTGGAGGACCTGCAGAGATTGCCGGGGCGGTCCCATTGCCTTCTGAGAAGGTGTGAAGAAGCTCTGCAAAACAAAAGCATAGAGTGAACTTTCAGTTGAGTTGAACACAAAATTACTAAATAAGAAGTAAAGAGGGTTTAACACATTCCAAGATGAGCCTCGAGGTCACACGGAAACTACAACGACCCGTGTTCTCGTTCGATGTCTAATCATTAGGGCTTAACATCACTTTAGTTATACGGTTACCATGGGAGGGGTTATAGGTGACGTGGGTAGACAACATTGCTGCCGTGTGCAACAGGACCACAGGTGTATGAACAGGGGGAGGGCTTGGCTACTTTATCAGTCGTGGGAAAGTTTCTCGGCCAGGTTCAATACAGACCGGCCAAACAGTTTACTTTGTTAATGTTTGGCCACAGCGCCGCAAGACTGCTAGTGTGTCTCATACCTATATGAAAGGTGACCTTATGGTGAGTTTAAGCTGTGGGGGAGACTGTCTTTAACTACTGGGTGGACAGTTGTTTAAAAATCACTTTGGTTTAAATTTAACAGGATAGAGTTGCATCATTACTTCTATTTAATAAACACAGATGCTGCTTTGAGGGCAACAGAGTTTGCATACAGACAAAGTGAATTTTCACACCCAGTACTTAAATGTTAGCCTGATTACTTAAGAGTAATATAATATTGCTACCCCAAGAGAAGCTTACTTCCAAGCAGAACAACAATTGTGATAGAAACAGCAGAGGTATAACCAAGATGAACAATTGCAATTCAGAAAAGAGGAGTTCATTTACCTTCACTGACGTCAACATACCTGGTTGATAAATTCATCAGCACAAACTAACGTGCTTTTAAGACGGATGTTTGTTTTATGTACTTAACTAATTGAAACTCAACACAGAATATTTATTGTAAGTTCTTAAGAAAATATTCACCTTGATATTCTCGTTAGACCTCTGCTGGTTGTGTTTTAGCTTAGCACCGAAACTCATTTTCTTCACAGAACCTGGTAGGGAAAATTATTAACATGACGTCATTGTCGTACAACATGAGCATGAAGGCTTTGACGCACACTTCGGGGAATAAATGCTGTTTACAAGAATTGAAAACATAAACACAAACTGTAATGATGATTAAAGATGAATAACACGCGGCTAAATTGATCGTATTTTACTCAAAATGCCGCGTCATTCAACCCTAAATGAGTCACCAGCTCCGCTTGATAAGTGGGTGAACATCCAGCTAATCCAAGCGACCACGGCAAAGACTTCACGCACCGAGCAACCATACGTAGAAACGACCACGGCAGATATAAACTGAGGATACCCAGTGAAGACTAAATATGCTAGAAGTTAAACCAACTTACCGTTCACGGGACACACCTGGTTGATTTGACTGAATATTCTCTTGTGTGAATCTCGCGCCAGGAGCTTAAATACACCCACTCGGTCACGTGGCTTCGTCTTCTTCTTCTTTGGAATTTATTGGCAGCTGGCATCCAAAAAGTTGCATTACTGCCATCTGCTGGATTTAATTATTACTCACATTCCTAAATCCTCCTCAATTTCTGTTTTTAATTTCAATTAATTTAATTTCAATTTAATTTAATTTCAATTTCTGGATTTAATTATTACTCACATTCATAAATCCTCCTCAATTTCTGTTTTGAATTTCAATTTAATTTAATTTCAATTCATTTAATTTCAATTTAATTTAATTTCAATTTCTGGATTTAATTGGATCTTTTTATAACTCCGATTATTTTATTCATGAGAGCAACCCATCCGGGTACTTTGCCAAAACGATGCCGGCCCCGCCCCTTTCTGGGTGAAATCATTCCATCTGAATGAATGGTGGTTAATGGACAAGTTGGGGTCATTACCGATTTAAAGTCTTAAAAAATGAAAACCATACTTTAAAACGGAAAGTATGAGCCTAAATCTGATGACCAGTGATGTAAACATTTAAAATATGACATTTCTGAACAGAGATCTGCATCATAACGATATAAAATTAACCATGTATGTGAGTGTTCAATCTCTCTCAGTCAAACTGCTCAAACAAGTCATCAGAGGAAACTGACTTTAAACACCTGATGAGTAATTATTAACCGTGTTACCTGAGAGGGATCTTTATTTTTAAATGATATTTATTTGTAACAGTGTTCCTAGCTGTAATGGAGTGGTTACAGACGTTTATTTTAGAGAAAAAGGGGACATAAACTCTGAGTTATCAGCTGATTTAGAAAAGAATCACACATGTAAAGTCACCTGGATGATATTAAAACTTGTTGTATTCATACGTGAGTGTAAATAATGATGAGTGGGGCTATGCCCATATAAGGGTTGTGGCAGGTTTGATTGACAGCTCTGCGCGCTGCATCTGTCTGAGCCATAGACTGAGCAAGGTTGTTTTTTTCGTGATGTTGTTTTGCTCCTCGTGCGGTCACATGTCCACACACGTCACATCTTTGTAGTTGACGGCGCAGCCATTTTGAGGAAGGCTGTGGTTCGACGAGCCTGCTGTGTGTGTGTGTGTGTGTGTGTGTGTACCATTATTAGCTGCCCCGAAAAAACACACAAAGAAACCAGACGGGAAAAACGTTGGACGACACGCCGTTAAATATGGGCCCACCGGGAGACAGAACACGCCACATGTCGACTGAAAGAACGGAGGACTTCAGCTGGATTGTCGATTTATCTTGACATGGCATGCAGCAGGGCGAGTCGGAGGTTGTGACGACTGAAGAAAAGAAGAGAAAGAAAACAAACACCTCGAAACTTAAGGCGTGGAAAGGGGGAGATCCTGCTCAGCTAACGTTTATTTCGTCATTGTTGGCTATCGATCCCCCTTGCTGATTTTTTTGTCGATGTCGTTGTCGAGCTAAAATGCTGAGCATAGGCAAAAACAGCTAGTTAGTCCCCCCCCCAAGAACATGTAAACGCGTGGAAAGATGACTGTACGCTAGCTAGCCAACCACACATAGGCCTAAATTAAGCCAATCAGTCAGAAGATAAGATGTAGCTACCCCGCTGGTTCACTACTAGTTAGTGTTGGAAGTGAATGCCTTAGATTAGCTTGCTAGCTCACCTTAGCTAGTGTGCTAAAAATACGCCACGCCCACATCATGACGACCAGCAGTGGCTGCAGCGCCGCAGGCCGTGGGGCCAAGTGAGTGGCAGTAAACAGTTGAGGAAAATGTCAAGGTACTTTCACAGTGGTCCTCGATGTGCCAATATCTCCTGGCATCTGTATTTACCTGCCATGTCTGTCTGTATCCCCAACCTGTCTGTAACACGCACATAACGCAGTCTACAGAGAGACAAAAACACAAATAACAAGCCATGGATGAGGGGACTTTGAATCGACCCAAACAATAGAATATTTTGTCTGCTTGCTAGTCTCTGTACTTCTCAATTTCACGAGCAGAAAAAAATGGGTTTTCACAATAACAGCCGTTTTTGTTAAGTTACATTCACAAAAAAGTCAACTTTTAGTTGCTCTTTCATTTATGTCTTGTAATCCCTTGTCGATGGCAGGTTGAAAAAAAAGCTCAATTGGCTTAAGTCATGTCTTAAAAACATGGATTTCTGATCAAGTTGTAAGGAGATGTAGTCTTAGTCTGTTAATCATTCCCCTCTTCAACACTGCCCTGCTACAAAAAAAAAAGAAAATGACTTAGTTTGTCCTCTGATTTGTTGACCTTTTCAGTTGGTAGTTAGTGGGTAATTCACAGATCTAGCCTAGAGTTGTTTGATGCGTTGTTTCCGCGAGGGGTAGCTAAGCATCATCCTTTATCCAACGTATAAACACAAAAAGTAGAGAGTGTAGCCAAAACTATTTTTGCACGAGAAGGAAGACACTACCATCAAAATCTAACCATGGGGGACCCAACTTCACGAAGAAATCAGACAAGAAATCGACTTCGAGCTCAACTTCGGAAGAAAAGGGAGTCTTTGGCTGATCAGTTTGACTTCAAGATTTATATAGCCTTCGTTTTCAAAGAAAAGGTTTGTCAGTAAAGTGGAAGAGTTCATGACACCATCTCAAACCACACTTTCCTCTCAGACATTATTTCAAGTCTTCTAAATGTATTATGACCATATAAAAAATAAACTAATTGCTTGTTTGATCTGTATTTGTGCTTACAGAAGAAGAAGTCTGCACTTTTTGAGGTGTCAGAGGTGGTGCCAGTGATGACCAACAATTATGAAGAGAACATCCTACGAGGTGTGCGGGACTCCAGCTACTCACTCGAGAGCTCAATAGAACTCCTGCAAAAAGATGTTGTGCAACTACACGCCCCCCGATACCAGTCAATGCGAAGGGTAAGCCAGTGCAAGATCTCAGGATCGGATTGCTTTAATTTGAAAATGAGAGGACCATACCGGGGCTAAATTTGACGTTGTGCATCCTATTCATATTTTAGGATGTGATAGGCTGCACACAGGAGATGGACTTCATCCTTTGGCCACGCAACGACATTGAGAAGATTGTGTGTCTGCTTTTCTCCAGATGGAAGGGGGCCGATGATGAACCCTTTAGGCCTGTTCAGGTTAGGATGTTGCACTTAGACGATTTCACACATTTTAAGAGCCAGTTTACAGATCTTTAACTTTCTAAGATTAATCCATTGATTAAATTGATAAATAAATAAACGTTAATTCTTAGAAAGTATCCACAGGGCTCTTTTGAGGTCTCGTTTGACAGACCCTAACCCTAAACCCAGAGGTTTTGAGTTTACAGTAATCTAATTCAAAGAAAATCAGCAAATCCCTTTTTTTTATCTTATGCACAATTTGATTGGTTTGATAAGCCTCCTGCAAAATGGAACAATACTGAGACCTTATTATCTCTCATACTCTTTGCCCTGCATGTCAAAATGATTCCCTACAGGTATCACAGAGTCCTTGCCTGTATGCACAAGCCTAGATCTAACTAGTGTCTTTCTAAGTTCAAGTGTCTTGTGATTTACAGGCCAAGTTTGAATTTCATCATGGAGACTATGAGAAGCAGTGCTTGCATGCTTTGGGTCGTAAAGACAAGGCTGGAATGGTCATGAACAACCCAACTCAGTCTGTATTTCTCTTCATGGATAGACAGCACTTACAGGTGAGTCCAATACTCTACAATGATGTTGAATCTGATATTACTGAAACCTCCAGATGTCTTATAACGCGCTTTACCTGAAATATTCTCCATGCGCTTCTCTCTCAGACTCCTAAAACCAAGGCCACAGTTTTCAAGTTGTGCAGCCTCTGCCTGTACTTGCCCCAGGACCAGCTGACCTGCTGGGGTGTGGGAGACATCGAGGATCACCTCCGCCCATACATGCCTGATTAGGGCTTCCTGCTCCACCCAGCAGCATAGGGAAAAGCCCTTCCCCCCCCTCCCTCCTGCCTAAGCCTTCAGAAGCAAATTGATGTACTCATCTTCACCCGTTTCCTTTTAAAAGATTTGAACTTGTGCTTGGATCTCTTCTCCTTTTTGTTACCTCCTAGTTCTCCCCACCCTGACCTGCAGCTGATTCAGTTCTCATCCTTGTTTTTTTTCCCCCCTCACGCTTCCAATGTCCTCCTTTTCTTCCTTACCATTTTTGGATCGCCCCCCCCCCTTTTTTTTTTTTTTTACCCCCCCCCTTTTTTTTTTTACCCCCCCTCCTCTTCATTCCCCTTCTACTCACTCATCCGTTTTTGTTTATTTGAACCTGCACGAACATTGATTTTGAGTGGTTGGTTGTTCTCTTGGAGCCGCACTGTCAACAGCACCGGTCATTGAAGGAACTCTTTATGTTGCATCAAAACAGGAACAAACGACACACAGGTCTTCACGGTGGTTCTCAGATGGACATGTTTTTATCCTTGTTGTCATAAGAGAGGATTGTTAAAGCTTGTTTGTAATGTCAGTGGAGTTTTTAGAACAACTTGACACAATCTTTTGACCAAGGACAGGTGTGAATAGGCATTTAAACACCTGTACAAGCAAAGAATACAAGATGAACAGTATTTGTCAAATCATATGGTGTAGGTATGGCTTCTTATAAACCGCCTTAGTTTTTTTTGCTGGACTTTAAAAAAAAAAAATGTTTTTGGTGTCATTTGCTTTCCTCTGAAACATGCTAGGCAGTCCATTGCTAAAATCTTGAGTGACTAGAAAGGCATTGTGCATAAAGTTGAGACATGGCTAGGTGTTGGAGGTCATGGTCACTGGTCAAGCCGCTCATGCACCGTTCAGTTAAGCTACTGAAATCTGATGTTTTTATGTTTTGTTTGATTTGGGATGTGGGTTGGCGAGACGCTGAAAGGGTGACATACTTAATGTTTAACAGACCTAACCAAAGTTGCTGTAAGCTAACTGATTTTTGTTTAATTTGACCTACTAAAAAAAAAATGAAGATTAAGTTGCAGCCATGCTCATGAATAAAAATTGGATTTTGCTGGCTTTTTTGTTTTGTTGTCAAAAATGAGGTACTTATGATTTTGCTCCTCGTTGATTCAGTGTGTTCAGTTGAAAGGGTTTAAGGCGTGTAACTTCTGGGTTTTTTTTCTGTTGATTCTGAAATCAATACTGCTGAGCATATCCCAATACAGTGCAAATTCTGAAAGCATTACTCTTGTCCATTTATTTTTATTACATGTGCGTGAAACAGTACCACTGTTATGGTCAGGAGTGACTTACAATACTGCTGTTAGTTTCTCTTTAACTTGACAAATATGTAACCGTGGCAACATGAACTAAACAACCAAAGAGAGGCTTGTAGCACTGATGACAGATTTGTTCAGAAGCAGGAGTTTTTCTATTTACAGGCAGAGGTAATTCCTTTGTTATTACAGTACACATTCATGATGTGATTCACAGAAAGGCACAGACGGTTTAGCTGCTGCCGAGGTGTTTGGTGTGTCTTCCTTGTGCTATGATCTTTCCAGTGGCCTTGTTGGTGAGGTCTACAGACGCAAACGCCAGTGTCCGTCCTTGCTTCAGAACCTGAGCAGTGATCAGTACGTCTTCTCCAATCTTGGCAGCGCTCATATACCTGTAAGACATTGACAGTTGTTTCCAGTCATATGATGTTTCTGAAGTTAATGTTCAAGCCGACCTGATTAACACTGAAGGTCAAGGACAGTGACAGACATCTCATCAGTGAGAATAAAAAAGCAATACAGAAAAGTGAATTTTAATGATTTTAACACAAGCGGACACCAAATATATTCTAAGGATTGCTTAGCATGAATGACTATATTCAACATTTTATTGCTAAGCCTGAAATCATCTCTAAGTAATTTTAAGGAAAGCTGACATCTTTTCCACAGAGTTTTTGTATGGGGTCTTTCTAGGTTTAAGGTTAGATTTACATTTTACAACAAAACATCCTCTTGATGTGAGTCAGTATTTTCTCATGACCACTTTAAGCGTAACAAAAGTTATATACATGTAAAGTTTGACAGGTTAAATAAAGGATACATTAAAACATTTTTAAAAATTTAATTGAAAAGGTTTTAGAGTTTGATCAACTAATTCGGTTGCTTTAGTTTCAGTCAATCCACTGAATCTATTAACTGTAAACACTATGTCATCACTCTGATGAATGAAAACACACTACAATATGAGGGACAAAAATTGCAGTGTTTCCCCTACCATTATATTAGGGGGGCGGCCCGGCCCCCCCTGAAGGTCAAGTACATTTTTTTTTAAAAAAGATTTAAAGATTTATTTTTGGGCTTTTTGTGCCTTTATTGCAGATATAAGATAGTGGATAGAGTTGGAAATCAGAGAAAGATTCCTTCAAGTGTTTGTGTCGTCATGTCGCCGTGTCGGCATTCATATAAAAATAATATATAAATAAATATATTATATATTTATTCATGTATTTCTGTGTCCATGTTGTACAAGGAAAAGTAAATATGTAAATTAAGTGGGCCGCTCTAACATTACTGAAGTAGGATTGGTCAAGTTTGAAAAACAGACAGAAGCAAATTTATATATACTTTTCCTCTTACGACCTGGACACAGAAATAAATAGATGTGTAAATGTAAAAATACAGAAATAAATTAATAACTCAATTAATGTGTAAATGTATGCATTGATACATATATAACTGTAGAAATAGGCTAATAAATGAATAAATACATGTAAAAATATATAAATAGCCTTTTTCATTAACGAAGTGTATTTATTATTTATTCATTGATGTATTGTTTTCAGCATTTATATATTTATTTATATATTTAGTGATGCATTTATTTAATTATTTATTTATACATTATTGTATGCATTTCTCCCAACATTTATTTATTTATACTTTAGTCCTTTTTTGGCGTTTGATGTAAATTGAACTGGCACACAAAAACATGCATATTCAGAAACAGACAGACACACACAGAAATCGTATTGATATCCTCACAGTTCACAGACTCACGTTATGTTCATATCCACGCTGACTCCGGGTGCAGCTCTCTCCGTGTTCAGGATCGCCACCGTGGAGATGACGTCAACCAGGGTGGCTGTCAACCCGCCGTGCAGCGTCCCTCCACGGTTAGTGTGTTCCTCCTCTACCCGCATTTCACACACCAGCTTACCTGGGCTTGCAGACAAAATGTTCACCTGTAAAAAGAAACGAGTAGATATTTGCGAGATTACAAAATATAGGCTACTGTTGCTTTAAAAAAAAGCGCTATCTGAGCTAAGATATGTTTCATACTAAATAAATCTTAAACGAAGAGTATCTTTACCTTGCTAAGTACTCTGTCAAAGCCCGGAGTGTCCAACATTGCTTTCACCAATTGCTTCAACGAATTTAAAGGCATTGAAGCCATATTTAACGCAAATGAATGTGATCAATGTCAAACAAACTTGTGTTTACTTCAAACCGGAAGCTGTTGCGTTCATATATCCGTCCGGAGGAAACTCAAAGGTAATGTGCTAGCTTTAATTTTGCTTCTGAAAAGTTTGTAGAACCAAGAGTAGCATGCTTCTCAGTTAAAAAATGTAAAGTATAACCATTAGATATTAACCGTGTGATTTAAATTCATTTTTTAATCATGTAAAGTACTTTGTTGGAATTCGCGAGTTCACACGGAAGCTTTTTGGCGCTACACCGGAGACAACTTGTCGAGGAAAACAAATAATTTCTACTTTTCCATCTACTTTTTTTGTTCAATGAGTATAAATAGTGGCTAGAATAAGATGGCCTCTACGTCCGACCCCGACAGACCGACAGTTTCTAATGTGGAAGAAAACAGAGCTCGTCTCTGCGATGAGTTTGCTGCAATATCAGGAACCGACAGCGCTGTTGCTCAGTGCTACCTGGCTGAGAATGATTGGCAGATGGAGGTACAGTGGATAGACACTCACAACTCTCAGCTGTGCAGCACCTAGCTAGCTTATTGTTTGTGCAGGTACAGGATTCCTGATTGCAGATGTGCGTTTAAACTGGTAACTTCTTCAGCTTATTTCACTGGGTCTGCTTCTGATGCTATAAGTCAAAGTCAACTTTATTGTCAATTTCAAAATATGCCAGACATACAGTGGAATCGAAATTGCGTTTGTCTCCATCCCACGGTGCAATACAACCAAAATAAGGTAAAATAAGGTTAAATAGATAACATAAGATAAAATTAAATCAGGTAAAATAGATAAAATAAGATAAATAATATTTACAGTAATAAATTCTAAATAGTGCAAAAGGTACAAAACAAAATGGTAAATAAAATAAAATTTAAAGAAAAAGTAAACTTGAAATGTGCAGTAAACTGAGTGTACTCAGTAAAGTGCTCATACTTGTTTCCAAATCTTTTGTGGATGACATGACAAACTCCAGGCAGTTGGCCCAGAGACTATTGCACCTAAACCTGTGTAAATATTTGATTTTCAGAGCGCTCTGAACTCATTCTTCGAGGCTGACATGGAAAAAGTATTTGAAGAAGATTTCCCAGAGAGCGAGTCAAGTCCCAAGAAAAAGAAGCAGAAGGCTGAGGCAAAACCTCCAGCAGAATGGTAGGGCTACTTCTCTTCCCTGTTTTGTCTCACATTAACTTTAAGTTGTTTGATGAGCTTTAAAAACTCTTCACCAAGTGAACAATCTCTTACAAACTTCCAGTGTAGATTTAACTGGAGACAGTCCAGCCTCTGCACGTAAACCCTCAGAAGAAGATGAAAACAAGCTGTCTCTGATCTCCTGGAACGTGGATGGACTCGATACAGACAACCTTGCAGAGCGTGCCAGAGGCCTTTGCTCCTTCTTAGTCTTGTAAGTTAGTATTTATACACTCCTAATATTTCCTGCATCACTTGATGTTTTATTGTGGGGCATCCATGTCATTTTCTTAATTTGGAATTGTTGATATACGTTTACAGCTGCTGGCCAATATTATTTAAAAAGTCAACCTTCCCTTCTTGCAGATATACTCCTGATGTGGTGTTCCTTCAGGAGCTCATTCCTCCTTACATCCAGTATTTGAGGAAACGGGCAGTCAGCTACCTAATCATTGAAGGTACGGTATGTTCAATACTGTTGTTGAAAGTTGGAAAAGCACACGTGTAAATGGTTAAGTCTATGATAAAAGCTGCTTCAGTATCAGGGCACGGTTCATACTGGCTCACTGTGACACTATCAAGGCTTGAAAAAGAATAGAACACAGCTGTTGTTAATGATATGGAAACACTTTTGCTTTACCTGCTTATAGTAATATGGTGTCTGCACTTTGTTTTTGTCAAATTCAAAAAAAGGTCCCACAGCTTTATTATAGGATATACTGTGTCCAGTGGTTTAAACTGTCCCTCTTCTTCACATGTGCTGACCAGCTGGTGAAGAAGGTTACTTCACTGGGATGATGCTAAAGAAGTCACGAGTCAAATTAATCGAGAGCGAGATAGTATCTTACCCGACCACTCAGATGATGAGGAATCTGCTTGTAGCTCAGGTTTGTGCTCAGAAAAAAAACTCTCCAAATACTCCGTGTTGTGTGCTTGAGTTCTTGTTATTGTAGTTTTTTTAAACCATTTGCTTTTTGATTCTTGAATTCAGGTAACTTTCAAAGGCCAGACGCTGTGCCTGATGACATCACATTTTGAGAGCTGTAAAGGCCACGCGCAGGAGCGGATGAAACAGATGCGAGTTGTCATGCAGAGGATGAGAGAGGCGCCTGACGACATCACAGTCCTGTTTGGAGGGGACACCAACCTGAGGGACACTGAGGTCATTCATTTGTCTTTGCTTATTGTGTGACAAAACAATCCGTTATAACGCCTGCAACCAAACTGCATATCCACACTTCCCTCTGCGTTTCAGGTAGCGAAGGTCGGTCTGCCCTCGATGGTCTGCGACGTGTGGGAGCGTCTGGGAAAGCAGGAGCACTGCCGCTACACGTGGGACACCAAAGCCAACAGCAACAAGACTGTTCCTTATATAAGTCGCTGTCGCTTCGATCGAGTCTACTTCCGTCCTGCTAGCAAGGACGGGGTCCCTCGCCTGGCCCCTGACCACATGGCCCTGGTAGGACTGGACAAGCTGGACTGTGGACGCTACACCAGCGATCACTGGGGAATCTACTGTAGCTTCTCGACAGAATAAAAGTACACAAAACAACATAACAACAACAACCAGGGAAATCAGCTGGTCTTGTTTGTTTAGATCTCTACAGTGCTGGATTCAGACCAAAATGATACTCTCTCTGTGAAAGAAGAGAGACATCATTTGAGGTTGGTAACCTTTAGATTTTATTTTGTGATTCGATTTTATTTTCTAATGTGCCTCTTTGAGTCTTGGCTCAACTATTGTTCCTGTACTAAATAAAGCCAATAAATGTTCAAATACCGAAGTTTGTTGTTTTGTGGGGGGAGAGAGAGAGATGGTTGGGTGGTTCAGTTGAGGTTGAAAGTTTATCCTTGGCCTTTTGAAACATTAGTTTATAGAGCAATCACACCACAAGGTTTCAGTTTGCACAACCTTTCTCTGCATGTAGAGTTGTTCATTGGTCATGGAGTTTTAGATGATATCATGTTTTTCTTGATTACTTCTGAAGTAGCAGGCAAAAAAATGTCATTAAAAAACATATTTCAATCTTGAAAGGAAATCAATCTGTCAACATAATATAGTCATTTTGAGATAAGCTGTATTTTAAATGAAGTCAGCTGAAAGAAAGATTGATACAAACATTTTAACTTAATGTCTAAATGGTCATTGGACATTCAGGATTCTGTTTCATGAATATCACAATAATGATATTGTCAAAGTATTAAGAACCCTTTTTTAAATTTTAGATTGATATTTACAATATTTTACACAAGTTGAGTGGGCTGCTCTCTGTGCATGTAGTATTGGCATTTGGCCACTAGAGGGCACTGCCGAGTTAAATTATATTTTTGAAACAACAGTGACCTCTGATGATAGACCAAGATTTATTATTTACAACCCGAAGATGTAAAACACTGAATGGTCACAACAAATTTAAATTAATATCAGACACCTTATCGCTGTAATTTCAGATTTAAATCTTAAATGTATCCCTACAGAACAACAGCAAATATTTTCTCCCGTCTTCATTGATAAACAGCTCTGTTGACCAGTTATGCATTTTTATATAAAGAAATTGGAAAAATGTTATACATTGAAATATATTGAACATGTTTAAATATGGTCAAACCCATACAGTCCACATGGGAAATGTGGTTTAGGAACATTGTACATGTGATCATATTTGTAGAAATGTGATCATGGATGGAAACATGGGAAATGCATTTTTGTTTTCTTAAAGGAGAGGTTAATATTTAAGAATATAGCAGATGTTACTGTTAATGGAAACCCTCTTACTGGTACAAGAAGTCCACAGACAGCCTGATAAAACCCATTATGGCAACATGTTATACAGTTAAGAGATATGTGTGAAAGAAAACAGATTATGTATGTTGCTTTGTGCCATTTCAAGCTCGTCTTTGAGCGACCATACACACTAAAAGGGTCAAAATAACAATTAAACCTTGATAGAATGCAGCCCTATTTGTATCATTAAAAAAACATCTATGGTTTTCCTGTTGTGTTATGTTAAATGTCTGTTGTTAAAAAAAAAAAGGCTTTATTGAATGATACAACAATTTAACAGCACCTCTCATCTTCATCCTCCATCATAAGAGTCTCAGTATAGGCCTTAGTTTTACTCCAAACCAGATGTGACCTCCTCTTCAGAGTCTCTGCCAAGATGCTGTCAACACGCCTCTCTCTCCTCTGTACGGCACCCTTCAAATCAAAGAGTGTGTTTTCATGTTCCACTGGAGAAGCGGACAGCTCAGTCTTTACAGCATGGAGTGAGGAAGGAGAGCTGACCTTAGGAGAGGACACAGATGTGACTCTTCCCTTGGAGCAGGCGTCATCACAACAGACCCCCACTCTCATCCCCCCCCTTCTCTGATTCCCGATTAGCACAAGGACACATTAAGTCTGATGAGTCCACCTAAAGCCTAAAACATTACAAATAATATTTCCCTATTTGGTCATCTGGGTGAGATGATTAGTGTCATACAAGCTCGTAAAATTCAATTCATCAGCAATTCATCAGCACTAATCTTTGAGGTCCTTTTTTGTGTGCGTGATTATTTTTGGGGGAGGTTATGCCCTTACTGTAGAGGACAGTGGATAGAGTAGGAAACTGGGGGTGAGAGAGTGGGAAATGGCATGTGTCAAAGTGCCAAGGCTCGGAGTTGAACCTGGATCACCCACTCCAAGGACCTCTGAGCATGGGGGGGCGCGATAAAACAGCTGGGCTATGCAGCACCCGAAATCATTGAAGTTTTGATCATTTGACTGAAAAAGTAAAAGCTGAAACTCCCACAAAAATAAAGTGCATGTTGCCAGTTAGAATTTTCTCAAGTTGAGGATGATGTCACTTAAAACAAATGTATAGCTGCAGCCAGGGACATTTTAAGGCTTCAAAATTAATTCAAAACTGATCCAATTGTGTCAGTGAAATATTTTTAAACTGAATTAAATTATAGTAAAAGTGGTAGACAGTTTTTTGTTGACTGTCAAGATTATTGCATACAGAGTCCCTGAAGTCCAAAAAGGGATTAAAAAAAAAATGTAATAGGGAACAAAGGATATTATCCTGCACACCCAATATTATTGGAAACAAATATTTTCTCTTGTGCATAAATCAGATGAAAACTTGTGCACACAAGGTAATAATATTGTGTGCATCATTTAATAACATGTTAATAGTTATTATATTGTATGCACAAGGTAATAATTTGCTTCCACAACATAAAAACTTAGATAAATATTTCACTTTTTAGGACTTCAGGCATCCTGCAGTGATGTTATAAGATGATATTTTTAAAGAGATTTCAGGTCAGATTTGACGGACACATTAAAAATAAAGTGATATCAGCTTTGATCTTGCAGGTTATAAAGTCATCCAGAGGTGCTCTATGTTTTCTCTACATTCATACTGAGCAGTTTCTCACTACAGCATAGAGGAGGCGGAATAACAGCAGCACGGTCATTGATGATACAGATGGAGGCAACAGCTGTCTGGGCCAAGAAAGTGGTCATGTGATGCACCCGTCTGCCTTGAGCGGGATCCCTCTGCCAGAGGCCCATCAACGTTTTCCCTCCTCCTCCACAAATCCATAAGCATCCACATCACAAGTTCCCCCCTGTCTCAGGACCTTCGTGGACATTTTCCAAGATCATTCCACTCCCCCTTTTTACAATTCCACTCTGAGTTTTTCAAGCACCGACAGCCTCACAGATGTATTTTTGGATTTCCATCCAAAAGCGTATAGCCCTCAGTGAGAACTCGGGCTCTCATTTGAGACCCCGTCAAAGTGAATGTTCTTGGGTCGGCATGGACGTATCCATGTTGCTGGCGGGGGGAAGCTGTGGGAGGAGGTTTTTGTCCTTTGAGGCAGGGTTTGGATGATGATGATGGATCGGACACAGATCTAACCCCCAGCACCGGGAAAGATTGGCGGCTTGTGTGTGAAGAGCAGCATGTGAATGTGTGTACTGCAGCTCCTGCAAGAAGAGTCCGGTCTGATTCTCTCTGATTGATAGACTCTGGCTGGGTTTGTGTGTTTTTTTGTTGTTGCAGGCAGATGACTTTGGGCAGCTTTTTCTTCTACTTGTGTGTGTTTGTAAGTTCAAAACCTATCTGGACCATGTCTGTCAGACACCATCAACACAAATACGCCTCCCCCCCCCATGCAGACAGCTTTGCACAGGCAAGGCAAGGCAAGGGCAAGCATAAGTGGCGCTCCACTCTATATCACCACCGTCACATCCATCACGACTTCCCATCAAAATCGATGTGACAAACTGCCCTAGAAGCCAGCATTATTTCTGGACGTACAGTGCTGCTGCTGCTGCTGCTTCTGCTGCATATTTGAGGACTGACAGTTATTTAGAGGTTTGCAAGATAAGGGGAAACTGTCTGAGCGAGAACATTTTGTCTTCCATCACTCTCAAGGGGGATTGAGAATAAAGCGGGCCAGGTGCTGTTTTGAGATGAGTATTTTGATATAACAAATACATTTGTGAAAACGTATCTTCACAAGCCAGAGTTTCCCAACGATAGGCTACTAGTTACTTCAGGAAGCCTTTTCCATTGAAAGGGATTTAGAAAAAAGTTAAGGCAACAAGGAAAAGGGCTTTTCTCATAGTTACATAAGGTTCGCAGAGCTTTGAATTATTAAACAGAGGAGCAGAGGAGATGCAAGTTTCTACATAAAAGCAAAAGTTTTGATATTTTGGGAAACCCTCTAACGCGTGTGCTTTCTGTTGGCAGGTAGGATTATTCCAACTGGGATGAAGGTATTTTCTACTGCTTTCATCCTGAAGCAGCCAGTTAGCTTAGCTTAGCACCAGGCGTGGAATGGTGGGAAATGGCTAGAAGAAGTTCAGAAAGGTGAATCACATCGACTGACTAAAATGTGTGTGTTGTACTATGTTAAAATATGAAAGCATAAATATGAATGGTAAATGGACTTGAGCTTATAAGCGCTTTTCTAGTTTCTGACTACTCAAAGTGCTTTTACACTGCAGGTCACACACACACTGATGGTAGTGATCACTATGTAGTATCATCCATCAGAAGTAACTAATCCCATTCATACACCACCACTGAAGCAGAGGGAGCAATTCAGGGTTAAGTGTCTTGCCCAGGACATGTTGCCCAGCTGGGGATTGAACCCTTGACTCTCTGGTTGAGAGGCAACAACTTTACAAACTGAGCCACAGCTGCTGAATGTGGCTGATTTCTTGCTGCATAAGGCAGTAATCAATATTCAGTCAGGTATCTATCCAACCATCCAATGTGATTTAAATCTTTTTGCTAAGCTAAGCTAGCATACCATTCAGAATCCAATCCTGGACCTGCACCCTCTGCATGCAGGTTCACTGATGTCAGGAGGGCCAAATCAAACAGAAATCTGAATTTGTTTGTTCCATCAGCTGATTGTTGGTGTTGTTGTCTGTACACTGATTCTCTGGACTGTTGGTCTTTGTGTATCTTATCTCACCAACGTCCATCATGATGATATCCATGAGAATTATGTTTTATATGTGGCGATTCTAGAGTCTGGGGGGAGGGGGCCCTAGGCAAAAATCATTTGGGGGGGCCCTCAAACCGGCATTCATCACAATATTATTGCTCTTCCTATTTTTTTCCCTGTTTCTATTTCTATGGATCTGTCTTCAAAGGGGGAATGAGAGTGAGTGCTGTCACATGGGGCCCCCTTAGGGAGGTCTCCTACTGTCATTGCAAAATTTGCACATTTTGGGCCGCTGCTTTGGTTTAAGTTTGTGAGCCCTCAGGAGCCCCCCCAACTTGTCTGGCACCCCAAAGCAGTTGCCTGCCATGCCTGTTGACAAGCAGTGCCTCTGTATGTACGTATGAATGTCTTTGTATTGTTTTTATGTATTGTCTGTGTGGATCTCTGATGCAAACAAAATTGCGCCTCAGGGACAATAACGATTTTCCAATCCAATCCAATAATACCCTTCGATACATTTCCCAAAATGCTTTGCGAAATGCCTTTAAAACCAAGTATGATTGAAAGTAACTTTGTGTAAAGGAATTTCTTCAACATGTTTAAAATATAGAAACAGAACAATACATTTTCCTGAATGGTGATTCAAATGAACAGCATGCAAAAAGAGTGCAAGTAAACACATGTAAAAAGTCAGACAGTTTTATTTTCTCTCTCATAAATAACACTGAACAAGCATTGTACAGTGATAAATATCTATATTTATACACTGTAAAATTCTCTGTATTACAAAATACAGCATTTGTGTAATGCACTTGATACAAATGGGAAGTGTTGCATTTCACAGCACCAAACGAGACCCTTTAGGTTGACCCTTTGACTTCATGATGTCATACTGTACTCCTTCACAACAGTTCAGGTGTGCAGTGACAGCCCAGATACAGGTCTCGTGTGTGTGTGTGTGGGTGTGTCCATGAAATGTACTTCCCTTAGGAATCAGTTGTTGCATAACTATATCTAGAGTTAAGTAGAGCCCACCTAGGAAGAACCAAAACCTTTACTGTGAAAACTGCTCATTTTTTCCACATTGTCAAGTTTGTAAATCCCAAGACCAGGATATTTTGATGGGACAGATGATTCATTTTCTGGTGTGTTTTTTTTAAATCAGGAATGGTTAAACATCCAGTTATTTTTTTATTTTTTTTTACTTAAGAACAGAACAGCTTCATTGAAATCGCACTTCCTTGGAGGGTCAGAGGTCGTTGGTGTCAGGTGGATGCTTTGTGTTATTGTTTCTCATCACAAACTGGGGATTTTCTTCTTTTTTTTTTAAAGTTGGATTGTGAGATTGGTGTAAAAATGGTTTTTATACAAGTTACTAAACTCTGTCTTCTTGTAGCTTTTTATCAAATCTTAAAGAGTAGGGGAAATGACTTGGGTTTGATTTGCTTAAAGTGAGTGAGGCGATGGGCGGGGTTTAGGGACCTTCTGAAGAAAGTCCTTCAAATCTAAATGTAGCTGTTCTGGTCACAGACATGTTTGTGTCTCTTCCCTATCACTGGCAGAAATTCTCCATCAGAGGCAGCGGGAGGTAACAGGCAGGTCAAACACAAACCTGGGAATACTGATACTCAACCTTACAGGGGACAGACAACTCCAATGCAGTTTTTGTTCACTTTTTAAGAAAAGAAAAAGAAAGTAAACAAGTAAACACTTAGGTAAAGATCTTATTGGGGAGGACTTTTATCATATTGTTTTTGCTTTCAAACATTATTGCTGAATTCAGACAGGAAGGGGCCCTTTCAACCAAAACAAAGCATCAAAAATAACTCTACAGTGATTTAGAGCAGTGTTTCTCAACTGGTGGGTCGGGACCTAAAAGTGGATCGCAGAGCCATTTTCATGGGTCGCCAATGTGTGCCTGGAAAAAATATGGTTTTAAAATGTCTTTGAAAGTCTTGTTCTGTTCGGTCACATTTTGTACTGTCTGAGGTCCAAACTACATAATCGTTCATTGAGCAAATCTGATTGGTTGAAAAATATCTGATATTTTGGTCATGAGTTGGGGGTGGGTCCTGAGGCTAGACCAGTTGAGAACCACTGATTTAGAGGACTGACAGCATGGAATGTGTGGTTTGGGGGGGGGGGACATTAAATCTGGCTTTGATGGCGAAAGAAAATCAATGCTATGTCAGCATTATTTAACAGGCATTAGTAGAAAAGAAAATACAGGGACATAACGGTGGAAATTTCACACAAGAGCCCTTATTATTCCTCAATCAGACATGTCTGAGGAGCAGCATCACAATAATTAATGTAAAAAATAAAAAGTATTATCACATTCATCACTTAAGTGTCCGTGTTGTGTTTGATTGTCGGCTTCTGAGACACAACAGTTCCAACCTTTGTGCAACCAAACCCCTTCCTGGTTTTACGTCTCTGTATGAAAATAATCTTGTCGTAGTGGACTGTGCAAAAGAATCTATAAGTAGGATAGCTTTGTTGGTATATTATTAAGAGCTTAATCAAGAAAGGATTATTCACAGATACATTTAAAAACAACAGTAAGTCATAAAAGAAGTAAGTCACATGTAGCCTCAGGTAGGGCCAGTGTCATGGCATCTGAGAAGTGTTTTTCAAATTATGGCACAAAAAAAAAATAACAGCCTCTCTCTGCCTCATCTAGTTCACCATTTCTATAATGCAAGTAAAAACCTTCGATCAACACAGATCTTGTTATTTTTTTATGCATTATTGATTAGTTTGGTTTCAGCACTGAAATATGACATTCATGCCATTTCATCATATTGCACAGAATTGTCAAAACTACGACCCTAACCAAAAAGTATGTTAATGTAAGATTGTAAGATTCTCTTTCGGCGAAAAACAAACAAAAATAAAACGAAAAACGAAGGTAAAGTCAAATCAAAAGGAGATAGAAATATTCTCAGGAAAAGCTGGACATCTCAGTTTCAGTTTGGTGTGGGAATCTCTCCGCAGCAGAACATGTTGGCTGTGCTGCTGGAGGAGCTGATCACGCTGCAACTTTCTACTTTCCTGGCAGAAACATTCCTGAGTTTCCTGCTGTGAAATATGCTCTCCTCTCCAGCTGCTCTTATCAAAACTGCAGAAGCGCTAAAATGAACTTCAGGCAGACACGGCCAAATCTGCTGATGTGGTGGTACGCCAGCAGAAATCATACGGTCAGAGATGCTCAGTGAGAGAGCTTCCCCCTCTCTCTCTCTCTCTCTCTCAATAGTCCAAAAATAAGACACTTAACAAAAATGTTCTGAACTAAATCTCACCGACACATCTTTAAAAAAAAAGATCAATAATGCCCTTATTATTTATGTTGAGAATTAGCACTAGACCTAGAAAGTTAATAATAGTAGAGACACAACAGATGTAGTATAGAAGAAAGGTGCATAGGCTGGCATTCTTTGACACTGAAGTGGAAATGTGGTTCCTTGGTTCTCTAGGAAAGCTCCAGATTGCACATTCATTGTGTTAGCAGGCAGTTTTAGCCTAGCTTCTATTGAATAACTCACTCACTCTGCCACCTCTGATATTACTCAATATCATCATTTCATTGACATCTCCTGTAACAGAGTAAATGTTAAGTACCTTAAGGAAAATCATTTCAAAAAACTAAACAAAGACTCCCAAGACGATGTAGCACAAAACCATTTCCATCAGCATCATTTCTTCTTGGACCCACACTTCTACAACTTTGTACCGACCAAAGACGTTTGAACATTTCATACCAGCACTAGAACATGTTCCAGAGACATCATCGTTACTCGGCTCGATTCCCTTTAGCTCGGAGGTTTTTACAAGTCAGTGACCAGGCTTGTACAGATTACTGCCTGGGGGTTTCAGTCCTCAATCACACCACGTTAATGCAGTTTCCAGCGCTCGCTGTCGCCCTCTTGCTGCAGTAGGTGAATCCGCTGTGATTGGCGGAGGAGCCGTTCATGTGTGAACACTTCAGCTCCATCTGGCAGGCGGCGATGGCTGCGTTGAGCTCTACCTGAGCACGGTGCACGACGTAGAACATCAGGCCGATGCTAATGACGATCTGCAGAGAGAGAGGAGGAAATCACTTTTTGTTTGGTGCATAGGAGCAGAAAAAGCGATAGACTAGGTCTGTTATGAGACCTTATATGGACAGTCTGTCTGAATTGAGCTGAGAAGCTAGTTAGCTACTTGGGAAGTTGGAAAGTCAACCTAAAAAATGTATAAATTGACATTTCAGAAAAAAACCCTTTGGATAACTTTCTAAAACTTTAATTGGAGTTTTTCACAAACTTGACATTTTCATTCAGGGATTTTCAATTGGACATTATTTGTAAGTTTCTTGACATTTTTTATCAACATTTTTCTGAAACCTTTGGGCATTTTTGGGAACATTTGAGAAATGTGAGAAAACTCCAGATTTCTGGAAAACTTTTGTAAATGTTTGAATTTTCCTTTTGAAATATTTGCACAACTGTCAAGTCTTAACATGGACATTTGTTGAAACTCTTGATTTCATTTCATATGGAAATTTTGTTTAACTGGAAATTTTCTTTTGAATTTCAATAAACTTTTTTTTTTTAATGTTTTGAATTGATTTCCCAAGTAACTATGCATTTGGAAACTTTCTGAAACATTTTTTTTAGATTTATTTTGGGCTTTTCATGCCTTTAATGCAGAGAGAGGACAGTGGATAGAGTCAGAAACCAGGGAGAGAGAGCAGGGAATGACATGAGGAAAGGGGCCACGGGTGGAAGCGAACCCGGGCCTACCGCTCAAGATGAGAGTCTCAATACATGGGACGCGCGCCCTAACCATTGCGCCACCAGCGCACCCCACTTTCTGAAACATTTGGTCACTTTTTGAAAAGTCTTTGCATGTAAAAAGTTTGTCCTGAAGTTCTACAACAGCACCAAATAATTGAGTTCGACTTTTATCTTCTCCCACCACTCGTGTTAAAAAAAGTCCTTCAGCACAACTGACGATTGGAGTGACAGCATTCCCTTCTGCTTAAAACAAGGATACCTACTTAATCTTAAACCTTTGACCACTGACTACTTAAAAACACTGAAAACAAGAGACCCCTGGTCTCTGAGCAGCTGTGAGGGTTAAATTCAGCTCAACAGGTGTTGGAAATGTGGCGCCAGCTGTAGATGACCTTTGGGTGAGCTGAACAGCACTGTGGGAAAACGTTGATTATCTACATAAGGCTTAACATGCATGTGGAGGTTTATGTAACTTCAGACTTGGGCATGAAGTAGGCGTGGAATCTTTGCACAAGGATTAAGTTTGTTAAAAAGATCTATTCTAAATGTAACGAATGGGAAAAATAAACTACCAAACAAAACATCATTGAAGACTAGTTAGTCAACAGCTGGTAGTACCCTTGTTAAGAAACACCACAACCTCTCTTTAAATGGGTAGATGCTACTACTAATCACTCACTCACTGAATTTAAGCATCAACTAAGAAAAAGGTGAAATCAAGACATAGTGCAGTACCACCACCTCACCTGCAGGCTGAACACAAAGTAGCCGCTGACGCTCTGCTCGGCAATGACGTCCTCCATGGTGCGAAGCGTGGTGCCCAGGTAAGAGTTGAGAAGCTGTGTGGGCAACAGACCCACAGAGGAGGCCACCAGGTAGTTTGGCAAGGACACGTCTGTGATCTGAAAAATCATAAAGAAAAGACAAAAAAACAAAAGAAGGACATCAAAACACTGGAAAAACTATACTTTACGCTTCTGCATTAAAATGAGAAAATTCCAAGTGATACCACACCTCCCTTGTTGAATCTATTTAGGTTAATCTGAAATCGTCAAGTTACACAAGCAATTATTAACATTTCAGAACTTTAACTTGTTTGTTCAAATACCTGAAACTAAAGCTACTTGAATAGCATGCTGTTTTGCACAATTTCTTCTGCAAAAATTAGACAAAGAAGATTAAGGTTTCAAAAAGTGTCAAAAGGTTTGGGCTCAACAAAAACTTAAACCACAGCAAGAATGGAGAGATTGAAAAAAAGGTCAGTTCTGATCATGATGTAAGTCTTTAACAATTTGACCCCAAACTCAAAACAAAGGTTCATTCACTTGGTTTTTAAGTTAAAGTCTTCATATGTGATTTTTCACACTTAAATGTAGAAATCAAGTATAGCCTCTGAAAATAACTCTGTGAGTCATGACTGTCTACAATGGGTGTAACACCCGAGTCCCACTGTCTGTGATGTTTTCAGAGTTTTCAGAGTCCTATCTTCAGTTTGTTTACATCGCCTGGACGGCCGGCTGACTCCTCCCCTCGTGTATAAAAGTTGTTTAATTGAGGGACTAGAGAAAAGAAGAATAACATACTGTACTCACTGCTTAACTGTGTTTCTAGATCACGCTCATTTCAGGTAAATTTACATGCAGTGTGAAGATACGAGCATAATAAAGATGCTAGCATTAGCATGCTAACACAACAATGCAGCTCGAGTTGTTTTGGTTTCATGCTGGTGCTCAAAAAAAAAAATCACTGGATCAAAAAACAAATCTGCATATAAAGCCTTTAAAGCAAATAAAGTTAAAAAAAAAAGTTGACAGTTCATTGCATATAAACCTCCAATTCAGTCACAGCACACAGACATACACAGAAGTACTGTGCTAACCTACATATATTTCATTATAGTATTTCTATATCCTGCTACTTTAGACTTCTTCTCCACATTATATACCTCTACCAGGGCTGCACGATTATGGCAAATATCATAATCACAAATCTTTTGATTGATATTGAGATCCTTTTTATTTATTTGACTTTTAACATTTGAAATAAAGAAATCAAACTACTGTTAAACAAGATTACTCGTTGAATTTACAACATCTGCATCACGTCGAACTTTAACACTCTTAAAATTTTGACCTACCTGAGGCCAAAAGAGCTCAGGTCATTATATGTTTCATTATTGAAAACTCTCGCATAAAAAATGATGCCTAATGAGACGTCTTTTTAACCTTCTACTCCAATCAATCTTCCATGACCCCCTGTTTGGGAAACACTGCTCTAAACAAGCCTGCAGTATAAGAAGTAGCTCAAACAAGCTCCAACTCAAAGTAGCCACAACAGTGAAATCCTTCTTTCACATGAGTGCATCAGTCCCAACAATCTATTATGTCATGTTTCCTCACTTCCCAGTGAAGGGAACTTCAAAAAATTAATACTTTTGATGCCTTGAGTATATTTTAGCTGAAGACAAAATGCAGGTCTTTTACTCTTTGGCATGGCTGTACTGGTACTGACCTCCAATTCACACATACTCTGTACGCCCATCCCCACTGGATCCGTCAAAAATAGACTCTCAGCTTATTTGAAAAGCGGCACATTTTCCTTCAGAATCTGCCTCATCATGTTAAAGTTGGCATAAAGATTGTTAGTACAACATGCCATTGGATGTCCAGCTGAGCGTCTCATTTCATATCTCATTACAAACACTAAATATAAACAAGAGTCTAAGTCGCGGTCACACTTGATCCTTTGATTAAATGATGACATAAGTGGACGTGGTGGTGCGGTGTGCTACTGCTGAGCTCGACGTGACCTTGGCTCTGTGTGCACTGTGACCAAACTCTGGTTGATAGCGGTGAGTCGGGGGGGAATAATACGTTTCTTAGGACACTGATGTTATGAAACTAGTTAAACGAGCTAATGTATGTATCTAGAAACAGGCTGTTCTCCTTGAGAGCTCATGTGTCCACACTATGTGTCAACACAGTCTAAACGCCTTCAGCCGATCTCTGAGACATGACATGTGAGCCTGCGACGGCTACAAAAGAAGAGGGAATATGCTGTCTTCTCTTTCATTCCCGAGTCGTGAAGCACATGTCCTGTGAGCTCCCTCCCTTCCCAGGCATGCAGTGCACGCAGCTGTCTAATACACGGCCAGGGGAAAGGGCTATTCAATTGGTCTTTTTTGTTTAACTGTACAGAGAATTACCACTGAACCTCCCACTTGCTTCTGCAGGCCTGGTTATCAAGATAATCTAAAAAAAATGAGGTTTAAAAAACACCCATCCTCAGCTTGACCTGATTTATTCAGAGCAGCAGCAATGCAGGCCTGAGTTTGTGCTCGTAAACAAAAGAAGGGAGTGGGTAAGTCGACTACATTGTACATTTTAGGACTATTTCTGGGATGCTGTTTTCCTTTTCTGAGTGCAGGGTTTACACCTGTGCAATCAGTCGCCACACAAACATGTTTGTTTGTAGTTAGGGCCCGAGTAGACACAATGATTATTACCCAGATTGCTTCATCAACCCATCATGACAGTAGAGGAAGATGATGTCAGACCATAAAGCAATTCAAAAGGTCAGAATTCTGTGATTAATGTGCAGATGTAAATATGGATTCTTTGTCTGCATGGTACATTTTTTTTTCAAACCTGTCTTCCTGTTTTGCTAACTGCTGCAGTCTTTGAGTCGTTTCAGGTTACCCACTATAATGTAGCACCATCGACTTCAGCAGAAAGAAGCGGGGGGCATGATGAAATGTAGCCTCGTCCACAGAAAGTGCTTACCAAGGGCAGAGCAAGACAACACATAACTCTACCATGATCCAGTACAGGCCAAGAAGTACCCACCCACTTTTAGTTTCAGCTTTTTTATTATGGATAGTAAGATCATAAAGATACAATATCAGCAGGACGTCATAATGAGTCTCCAGGTAAAGATGAATAACAAGGTGTACAGTGAGAGGCGGGAACAGGGAGTGAATGTGGAGCAGAAGATGCAGGTGAACTCAGGGATTCAGCTCATTAGCCTGCTTCTGTCAGGGCCGGCTAAACCCCCCAAAGAGGGCTGCACTCTGGTGTTAAGTTCTCAAACTAGAGAACAAGTTTCACATTGAGATTTGTGCATCAGGAGACAACAATTTGTGGTTACCCCCCCCCCCCTCCGACCTTGAATAATTAGCCTTGTTACAAAGGCCCACTATGTAAGCACCAAGAGTGAACCAGGACAGTAAAGTTGTGGGCCATATAGCTGAAGAGAGATGCTCTTATACAGACTTTTCCTACCCAATACCTAGATTTGAGAATTAGCCGATAATGAGTACACCTTAAATACCAGTGCCATTCAAAGTATATACATAATATTGGAGGGAAACCCAAGATTGATGATATTTGCCAGCTAATTGGTTACAGTATTGGATCTGTACATTGACCTTCAACCTCATTATCTCTGTAGGATTATCACAAGTACCTCTACATTGTTTTGTTTTTTTTGTACATTTGTGTTTTTGTGTGTGTTTGGGTCCTGTGTGTTGAAACAGTATCTCTAGGTGAGTGATGAATGGTCAAATCATAAAGGTGAGGTTGTGCTGAATAAAATGATACCAGGCACTTATATGATAAACATTTTTGATGTAGCCAGATATAAGTAAAATGACAATTATAGAAAAACGGCCAAAACAGCCTCAGACCTCACAGGGTTAAGTATATAGACGCATTAATAAGGATAGTGATAACAGCAGATAATCAGTAGTTTAAAGGAGCTCAGTTATGCTGATCCATGTGTGGTTTCCTGCTGCTCTGAACAAGACACTATGAGAGCTTCACGAGACTTGCCTACCACAGTAGTGTTTCAAGGACACGCCTACCCGGAAGCTGAAAGAGACAGCAACTGAAATGAACCTTTTCAGGGAGCGGCTGAAATAAGATAACACTAATGTCAATGCAAAATCTGCCAACAAAAGGCTAAAAAAACAGGGTAAGACTATGCTCAAAATGTAGGCTTATTATTTAATGTAAAACTAAAGCTATTTGATACGTCTATGTAGCCCTTAAAGCGAACAGTCTCATGGGCATGGCAATGAGTCAAACACAAATGAGCTGCTTTTTCAAAGACAAACAGCTGTCATAAGTTGAATTTAACCAGCAGGAATATGACAAATGTGACCTGGCGTACAATATGACCCACTTTTGTGTTGAGATGCTTGAAAGCTGGCATCCTATTTGGTGAAAGTGTTTGCTTTTCTCCAGTAGATAATGACCCAGAGAGCAAACTTAAAAAAACAAACAGTATTTCACAAGTCTGTCAACTCTCCAGCCGTTTAATTTGACCCCTTTGCAAACAGATTGCAGACTGGAGCAGCAGCACTGCCAGTGACAGCGGCAGGAACATGTCAACACTGTGTAAACGTCTGTCCCTTTGACATTGACACCTAATTTTAACCGCTGCACATTGGAACAGTAAGTGCAATGTTGTTAAAGCCAGATCCTAGCATCAGGGGGACAGCTCAACCTTTTGGACGCAGAGCTGTGTCCCAACCATGAGGCAGAGAGTATGAAACAACGACAAACAGAACAGAAGCCATTTAAGTCAGTCAGGCGAAAAAAGACCATCTGTCGGGTTTGTAGGTCCCGTTCAGAGAAGAAGCCTTTTTTTACAGGTGGACAGTTTCACATAGTGCGGCAAATGAAGAGGTATTGCTGTCTCAATTTTTAGCATTTAAAACTCCCTTTTCTTAGTTTGAAAGTGTCTTTTATCACATCACAGCAGCCTGAAAGAACATCTTGGAGAACAGTTTTCTTTAACCTACAATTCAAAGCAGACATAGACTGAAGATGTAGAACAATGGAGGAATGGATTTTACCTCTCTTATTGACTTAACTTAATTAACTTAACAAATAACAAATACATTATCTCCGCTTTCATGATCAGCTTAACACGTCAGCTCCAATAATCCCTTCCTCAGTGTCACAGCCTGAGCTTTTGAATTCGAGACGCCTTTCCAATAACAACCTGTAAATCATTGACACAGGCAGCAGAAATGTTTTCTGGAAGCAGTACCCATTGTAGCAACAGTCAGCTGATTCCTGGGATGATCTCACCTTAATGTTGTCAAATGACTGTGCCTAATAATCATCAGCTGATGTGATGTGTTCCGATCCTCATGTTGAACTAAAGTTGCACTGATGAATGTAGGTCTCCAAAAGTAAACAATGTTCACTGACAATGATATTGCATGACAAATTATAGTAGAATTAATATGTATTATTTTATTTCTAAATTTCTGTTGACACCCTCAAGACAGAGTTCAGCACTTAACTGCAGAGAAATATTGTTGAGGGTAACATCAAGGTCTCTCACGTTTTGCACCACCTTGCATGTTAATTGTTGGGCTTTGAATCAGTTTCATTACAAACTGTACTATACCCCCTCTTTAGACACTGATAGGATATGATATCCCACTGTATGTGACCATTTTTTTCCTTTGAATTAACTCAAGGGGCTTGCTATAGACATGAGACTATCACATACAGTATAGGCCGTAATACGATTTTTAATGATGTGAAAAACAATCAATAAATGTAAATACAGAAACAAACTGTATGAATGTATCAGTGGAGTTAATAATGGGTAGAATAATCATGAGATGCTATATTTGTTTTAAATACAAGATGGGGGGTCATTTCAGCTGTGACAAAGTCACACCTATTTGAATGCTATTTGGATGGTGTTAATAAGGGTGATAATGAGTAAATGGAACTGTTGAAAAGCTAAAGCAAAAATAAGCAGATACTTTATACAGCAGAGATGTGAATCAGTCACCTCAGAAAACATACTGGAGTTTGCAGCATGCAATTACTGTGCTTGTGAAACTCACTCACGTCATTTTCCTTTTTCCTGCCTCGAGCCTGTGCATCAACTCCTTCATGCTCTGAGCTATAAATGCCTTTCAAGCTCCCCACTTTGTACCCACTTCTGGATGTTTGTGCTACTGCTGGTTTGTTCCTGTCAACACTATTTTGAATCCCTTCTTGGCATATACGTTTCCATAAACAGTCCTCTTTTCAAAACAGCTTTGGTTTAGACGGGATGAAAAGCTGCTTTCTGGTGTGGCAATACTTTTAAAAGGGGAATATTGCACTTTTTAAGCTAGTTGTGTAAAAGCTTATTTGAAAGATTAATTTCGCCAGCCTAATAATTTTAATTTGTAGGAGAAATACTATTGTGTTCAGGGAATCATTCTGAAATCTGGTACAAGTGAGGAAAACCCAGCTCAATGTAAGAGATACTGTATAATCTGGTACAATCTGGTATAGTAATAAGAGTTTCTTTGCAGCAGTATGGCTTGCACTACTCTGGAGATCTTAACGCCTGAATTGCTCCATAACATTAAGTCCACCCTCGGGTCTGTATTCTACATTTATCACTCAATTACAACAGTTAAAACGTCTCTCACGTTGCATGAAATCCCATCTGATTATCAGTAATACAGTTACTCATCCTTAGGGGCATTTAACATTTGGAGGTATCAATGGGTTGACTGTGGAGGGTAATCAGTGAGTATAAATTATTCATGAGATGCTTGAAGGTCAAGGGCCTCAGGTTAAGTGTGGGAGTGTAGCTGAAAGCGACTCCCTGGTAATGCAGGTCACTAAATAGTGTTTTTATTGTTTTGACCAGTGATTTTCAATTTAACTAAAAGAAAACAACATATTATCATCATCATGTCATCATCTCTTAAGGGAAAAAGGTTTTTTCCAAATACCCATTTCTTAAAAAAAAAAAATATGAAACTGATTTTAAAAAATGTAAAATAATTAATGTCTTGGGGCTATAATAGAGTCCATTTCTGAGGTTAATTTTCTCTTTGTAGAAGACGAATGATTTCAGTTCTTTGGGGACTTGCCTTACATTTATGTCTGCTTTTACACCGTGGTTCGCCTTTAACATTGATGTAAAAGGTTAACTAATATGTCCAATGTCTGACATTCATTGCAAAAAAAATGAACAGTATATATTTGAATAGCTCCAGTCTGTTCATTTCAATCTGTTTCTGGCTAGAAACAGATTTAGGTTGGTAGTAGGTTGTAGTGTAGTAGGTTGGCCAAGCAATAAGAAAAAACATTTCCCTCAAGGTCAAAGGTTAAATTCTTGTGACTGCAAGTGAACTTTAGAACCATCCAATGGTAGTATGGACTTTGCCTCGAGCTCTTGTGTTGCTGAAACTTGTCTTGGTTCAACCTACATGAGTTTACAATAAACAAAACATGACTGTTTAAATGTCCATTTGGAGGGAAAAGGACAAGTGTTTTGTACTCACCGAGAAAACTGCATTTTGTAGCCCAAAAGGTATGGGGGTGAGTCTTGCTAAGGCCACAACTTTGAGTCCACTTCCTCCTTCCACCACTCTGATGACGGCGCTGAGCTGCTCGCTGTTCCCAACTTTGTTCAGCACCCAGTCAGTCAATAGTCGTTTGCACACCAGGTGTGCCACAAAGGTCCCAATCAAAACTCCAACCATAACTAGTCCCATCCCCAGCACAAAGCCGTAGAGGTAGCCAGCTGCCACATTAAGAACAATGTAACCCCATCCACAAGGGAACGACACGATAATTAAACCAACTATAAACAGCATGGCTCCCACAAAGCTGTCCAAGCTCTCCACCCAGAGCAGCAGGTCCTTGAGGTATTGGCGCACCAGGGCGACCGAGGAGAAGCACACAGCGGTCAGGATGCATGCCAGCAGGGCGCTCTTGAAGCAGAAGGTGGTGATGCAGCATGGGTGCCTGAACTCGCCGCTGTTGCTGAAGGTTGTTCCCCCTGCAGCACTGACGACCTCGGGGTCCCCGTCTGATTTCCCAACGCCGGCCCCTGTCTCATCGAAGGCGCTGCATATCAGGATGTCGATTTTGTCACACTCCTCTGTGGCAGTCCTCTGCAGCCAGCGGTTCAGCTGAATCTGCGCCTTACCCACTGCATGCTTTACAAGCTTGGTGAAAATCTGCATGCTCGTGGACCCTGATATTGACATGTTGGCCCTCAGGTGAGCTCTGGGGGGCCAGCAGCACGGCTCAGATGACCTGACCTGTAGACAGCTGTGAGGGGTTGAGATATCCAGACAAGTCTTCACATCCAATAGAAGTTCATGTCGAGCAATCTGTTTGTTGAGGTTCAACAAAAGCAATAATCTATGATGTTTTAGTAGATGACTTCAGCACATTGTTACGCAACTGTGACGTGGGACACAAAGATGAAATCCGTCACTTTCCTTTGCCATTACATTACCAATGTAACAACGTTTATCTCGGATACACCAGCTGATCACATCGCCGGTCCAATGACTTCAAAGTGCCAGGTTTGTCGTTTCTGCCCGAAACACTCGCCATACTCAGTTTCCAGCTCTCAGCCCGGGACAAAGTCAAAGGATGGAGAGAGCAGTCAGGACGGAGGTGACAAAACAACCCAGCACTCTTTTAGACTTAAGACTAGAATCAAAGTGGTACCACAATGTCAACTTCTTATGACCCGACCTGCATCGCCATCCAGCTAACGGGAGCACACTGGTTAGCATAAATCACGGCTAACCCACTCCTGTCGTGAGCTTAAATAACTCTGCGTGTAGAAAGTCCAGCGTTGCATTTCAGAGACTCTACCGTCGTGGCTGCTGGCCTCCGCGTCGTCTTCTCCCGTGGAAACGAAGCAACAAACACGGCCACAGAAGTCAGAAGAAATGAAAAAAAACCTGGTTGGTCCTCCTGCTAGCTCGGTGATGTTGTTTCTTTCGCCGTCCTCCGTCCACAGTGGACGCTGATGCCGTTAAAGCTATTCATACCGACCACTGTTTGTGTCCCAGAATGCCAAGTAACCCGCGGACACGTGACTATCCGTTAGGCGTTCTCATCCAATCAGAGAGCCCAGATTGCTATCGCGAGGTTTCCGCGGGATTTCACTACAAATGATGTTTGTTTTGGATCAATTAACTTAAACTGGTTTATGCTGCGGCTAGTGTGATGTCACTTACGCAGAATTAATTAATATTTTTTAATTTTAATAACAATAACTCTTTCCACAAGTGGAGGTGTACATACCTGGTATTATTCTATTATTGTATTTTTTCACCCTTTATTTAACGGATGTTTAATTTTTAACTTCTTGTTATTTTTAATAATTATATTCCTGCTTTCTAGAGCTGTTGTTACGCAAAAATTTCCCCCATTGGGGATCAATAAAGTTTATCTTTATCTTTATCTTTATCTTTATCTTTATCTTTATCCGGTGCTGAGAAATGTTATTCACTTACATGTTTTATTGTTTTGCCTCATCTTAGAGGTTTGAATACTTAAATAATTAACAGGGCGATAAAATGTAGCCACATTTCTCACACATATTCACATATATCAGGAATGTTTATCAATAAGTAGGAAGCGGTTGATGCTGCTCTAATACATTTGATATTTACATAATAATACATTATGCAGCATCACACATTAACATTGATTTTAATGTTGCTTGCACAGGAGGAGCTTTAATGATCCTTTATGCTGTTGTATTTATTTACCCTATACAACAGCATCAAAAAATCTGGATTAATTAAAGGTGTCAACATAAATGTATTTAGGAAAATCAAAAACTAGAAGTAGAAAACTTAGCTGAGTAGTTTTGTTAAACAGCCTGAAATAGCTAATAGGATGACCTACAAGTAATTCTAATGTGTGTTAAAGTAAAGTACTTAAAGGAAAAAACACAATTTACTCTGACTAACTATAAGGAATAAATAAGATTATGTTCATAAACTGTGTCCAAAACAGCATTGGTGGAATGATTTATCACCTCCTTTTCTTCATTAAAGTAAAAGTAATAGCACAACAAACTTAAATAATTAGTAGGCCTAGACAGAATCGTGCATTTATAAGTATTATAAGCACAGATCAATTAATAAAGTCTTCAATAAAAATTAAACAGACTAACCCCTGTACGAGTTTAAAATTATTATATGATTTAACTGTTATTACTGATGTCCAAACACATTTTAGTGGAGAGTGTAGACAGCTTGGCTTGCACTGTTAAGTTGTTTCACCTCTTGTAGTTGAGGATCAGTGTCATGGTAAGTGTTTGCCTTTGAAACAGTTGGAATGGTGCATAAAGAATTAAACAAGCACCTCAATGTTATAGGCTAATTGAGTAAATTATGGTCAGTAAATGGGCTTAGTTAATGTTTTGTCATCGGAGGAAAATGCACAATAAACTAATCCGATAATTAGCTGTGTTGAAAGTATTACTCACATGCTTTACTCAGGTCAAAGTAAACCTCTGGAAATATTCTAATACCAGGAAAAGCCATGCATTGAGTTTTTTCTAAAGGATAAGACCCCAAATATTATCAAAAAAATGTACTCAGAGTAGGCTTCCAAAAGAGCACAATTTAAAGAACGTATAGCAGAAAGTAGTTTTGAATGACTGAAGGATATATTACACTAAATACATATTACAACCATAAAGTAGAAAATGAAAAATAAAAGCATCTTAAAATTGTGGTTCACATTTGGTACTGGAGTTAATGTATCAACACTTGAACGCTGGGAATGAGTTGCATGGAAATCAAACATTAATGGAGATCATGTCACACCATGAAAATCAGAATCAGAATCAGATTTATTTTCCAGGTATGCTTACACACACAAGGAATTTAACTTTGGTGAACTGTGCTCTCTTATGTACAGGTACAACATTAAATATCAACAATAAACATAATAAGAGAAGACTAATATTTACAAGACTAAATATGAAACAGTGCAGTGGTGAATAGTGAAAAAGATGCTCAAGTAACATGATAAGTAAAATGCAGTTATGTGACAGATGAGTCAATTAAGATGTAAATTACAGTATTTACATAAATAAGTGTGTGTAGATTGATAATTTAAATGAAATAATATATATATACATATATGTATATTCACAGTGACGGTTGGTTTAGAGTCAATTCACGGCGACAGGTCTGACACTCTGACTGTTTAGCGTTCATCAGAGTGACAGCTGGGGAAGAAACTGTTCTTATAGGGGGAGAAAGATTTTTGTAGCTCAGAGTATGCAAGTTCTCTAGTACACATTAAAGTTTGTAGTAATACTCTCCTACACTGTCCTGTATTAATGAAAGCGTACAGTATAATGAAATTGCCTGAAGGGAATCTCCTGCTTGGCATGCTCACCATAAATTCATAATGAGGGGAGTGAAGCAGACAATATGTGCATTCATGCATCTACCACAGCCTGCTGAATGGCTTCTACAGCTGTGGACTTTGAGTTGATTTTAAGCAACTTTACTGAGTTTTTATTAGTTGACATTTTCAAGTAAAAACAGCCGTTCTTCATGTAGTCATCAATTTCACAGACATCAGTACAGACCATAGTATCAGCTCTGCGATTTGAAGCTAATGGTCAGTTTGTTAATATGGTGGGATTTACAGATGTACTGCTGACCTGCTCCACTAGATGGAACTCTTGCATAGTTTTACAACCTCGATATGAACACCTCGTTGAATTAAGTTTATAACTCTGCAGTTTATAACTGTAGTTAAATGCAACATTCAAAACATGAAAACAAGCTTTTTAAATTATTTGCCATGTACAATAATTCCTTTTTATTATTCAATTTCAGTTATATTCACAAAAATAGCTGCATGTTTTTGTATTCAGCATCCCTTATGAATTTACTTACAGACAAGTTTATTTTCCCATAACACCCTTCTAATGGGATGAATTAGTAAAATTCACTGAATTTCCAGACTATGAGACTTGATGTTTCACGTTCATCATGTCAAAGAATATAAAGACAAAAGAATTATTAAAAAAAAAACCTTAGCACGAGTTGAAATGATCTTGAGTCAGAAGAAGGTAATGAGCCTGTGTATTGCGATGCTGAAGTGTGAAACACAATGAAATAACCGATTAGGCTGCATTTACACCTGTAACACTTGTCTGTCAAACAGACATGCGTTACAGGTTTGGACTCAGCTTTGAGATGAGCAGAAGCTGAAGGGACGACAGGACAGGACAGTCTTTGGTACCGGTCGGAGTGTGAAGACTGACAATACAAAAAAGAGGAAGTACGGTGCTTTTTCTTTCAAAACAAAAGCGCATATCATCCCAAAACGTTTCGAGTGTGTCGGAAGTGGTGTGTTTTATTCTGGGGGACTTGACACCTGTCTGACAGTCTCTCTCTTTGACTCGTATAGCTTTGATCAGGATAAGAGGTTTACTCGGACACATTCCTCTTCAGTTCTCAGCTGAAGCTACATTTTGAATGATGGATTGTTCAGAGGAGATTCAGTCTGTGTGTGAGGAGCCCGGCGCTCAGATCGAGCTCAAAAAGGGAATGTCGATCTTCATTGATGTAAGTAAAATAAAACATTTTTATTTCCTAACTTATTGTTCCAAATGGGTTAATTGAAATGTAAAACAGTGACGTCTAAATTTGTTTTCGATTTAGAGCACAAACTTCATTTGTCAAATCAAAACAGGATATTACATGTCCGACTGTAATAAAAAAAAAAGATAAAAGATTGTTGTTTTTTAATTTAAAAAAAAATAAAAATAAATTAACAGTCCAAATAAAGTTATCTTTTAGGGTTTTGGATCACCTGAATCAATAAGGACTGTCATCTTGTTTGCAGGGTACAGAGGGTTCCTTGTTTCAGAGAATGAATTAACTTGACAAGGCTGCCCTTTAATTTCGCTTCATGGTGTGAAATTTTACAAGCTGGCCATCTTTTTTTTTTTATGTTAGGCTCCAAAACCAAATGCCAAGTGAAGGAAATGTTACAAGTTTTATATAATTTATGCTCATTTTAGCATCATTTGGAAAACACGTCTATATTGAGAACTTCTTGAATTTAAAATGTACTTTAGATCTCTTAACATGATGGCAGATTAAATATTAAAATCACATCTTTCATGCATGTCAGTGCATCATGATCCTATCCAAATGCTTCTCTCTTCCTCTCCCTCATACCCAGCAGAACCTCATTTTATTCCCCCCCATTCCTCCACTCACACATCGACTTCAGACATAAACCTGTTGTCTTCCTTTTGTCAGTGTGCTCGAGACGCACAGAGAGTGTGGATGCACTTGGGAATGATCAAAGGTGGAAATATGTGTATCCAACACATCAAACATCAATGTTGAACAGGTGCTTTACCTTCTGGCTCTGAGTGTCAGAATGAAACCACCGCCTGTCTTCAGGGGTGAGATGGTCGACAGAGTGTTGCTTCTTGATGTCTTTCACAGAGCTCTGACAGTTTGTTTTTATCATTAAACATGCAGGTTGAATCCACACTGTCTCCTCCATGCAGTGTGTTTTTCTTTGTATTTGTGATGCTGTTTTGGTCATTATGATTTAACAGTGTGGAAAAAAACAAAGGACCAGCGTCTTTTCTAAGTTAAATATATTATGATGTCACATCTTAGACATGAAAGATGAAATGATTTGTGTGCGTATATCTAAATGAGCAAATCCAAAGAGCCCACAATTACCATTACATTTTCTTGAAAGTCTAAAAGTAAATAAAAACAGAATTATTTGTTATAAGAAGAATTTTGAGAGATACCAGCCGAAGCCAGAAATACTCAATTTACATAAATGTGATACAGGAGAAAGTAACTCAATCTCACTTTGAGATACAAAAACCGTCAAAAAAAATATTTTTAAAGAAGCTGCTGATTCATATTCTGTCATTCATCTTTAAAATTGAGAATTTCAGATAAAGACATAGAGAAGTAATGATTTATTCATTTTTGTAATCAAGTATTTCCTTATTTACTTTTGTATTTATTGTTTGATTCTACTTCTTCATAAGATGGAGAGAAAAAAAGTTCTTGTTCAACTGAGATTATCTAAATCATTTCAGAAATGTAAGTTAATAATAATAATAATAATGAAAGCTAAACCGTGGTACAAGCAGATACTGGGTTATGTATATCAACAAAGCAAAACTGTACGACTGATTTGAAGTAAAGTGGTAGAAGGTAAGTGGATGTTTATTCATTTAGAAAATCAGATAATCTAGAGATGAAGGGTATTGATGCTCAGTTTACTTTTAACATCTAGATCACGCACACAAAGTATTATGTTAATTTTGCCCATGAGTTGATAATGTGTTAAAGCCTGTTGAAATTTCATCTAAACTCGACTCAACCCGACAACATGAGAAAGTAGGCGAAGCTATTTTGAGGCATTTGGACCCTTTTAAAGCTGATGTGGTCATCGTCACTGAGCCTTTCATCTCCTCTGGACTCTGGGACAGGACTATCAATAATTAATTGACACACTGCTTTTTAGAGTGTGATCAATCACACACACACACACACACACACACACACACACACACACACACACTTTTACTTTGATGATGTGAAACCTTTTTGACATTGCCCTTTTTTTTCCTTTCCAGATTTTACGGCGAGCTGATAAAAACGGTAAATAACGACTCACACTCACTCCTCTGTTTTTTTTACCTGATTTCATCCTCTCTGTGTCATGTGTGAAAACAGATTTTCTTTCTCAATGAAATTCTCGCCACGACTGTCTGCTAAAACTCTGTCAGTTTCCATGGAAACAGGAAAATGACCATACACATGGATGTCCAATATCAAAACGTTAATGAAGAGAGAGAAAAAAAAAACCTGCACCAGTTAGAGGTATTTATCTCCAGCCCACACTCAGTAAATGGGTAAAAATAAAAGTTCCGGGCAAATATTCACATATTCATGCTGTGGTATCATCATGTTTTTGCAGAACAAAAACATGTAGTTTAGATGTTAGATCTGAATCCATGTTAGTCCTGCTCCCCTCAGCATTAATAATCTCTAACAGAGTGTTAAAAGCTTGTAATTCAAAAAGAAAAGGTGACATAAGAGTGTGGATAGCTCGATTGTATGGAAGACAGGCCATGAAATCTAATCTATTAAATCTAAATTATTCAGCCAACACAGTCTGATAGACTGTTCCAATTTGCTTGAATTTGTCTGCAGGCGACTGACACAGTAAAATTGCATTACAGTTATACCATGGCTAATCATCTTATACCTGCCTTAAAGCACTTATATCTTTCTTCAAAGTTCCCTATGACAAATATTTTTTTGTCATAGCAAGCTATTGCCTCCAACTAGTTAGCTTAGCTTAGCATAAAGACTCAAAACATTGGTGAGAAAAATCAACCTACAAAACAATTCTGAAGTTCAATTCCTAGGCCTTTTTTTTTTTTTTTTTACATCACTTATGTTTAAGTGTCATATCTTTGATATAAACAACATCTATAGATCTGAAATACGTTCCCTGTGAAGTGCTCCTGACAAGAAATAGTCCATACTATTTAGCTTTTCTATTTGCTTTTCACTAATTATTAAGATGCTGAGATGCTGGTCAACTTTGACGCAGCCAGGCTACCTTACACTCTCTGTGTAGTATTTATGCTAAGCTAAACTAAGATAAATTTAGCTGTTTGAAGCGTCATAGTTTTGGATTATGGTAGGAGAGTGGTTAACATATAACGTATGGCAGAAAAGTAAATAAACAGAATGTTAAACTGCTCCTCCGAGGTTTGTGATCTAACCAAAATGTCTTGTTTTAATCAACGAGAAAATCACAGTTTTTTCGTTTTTTGCAGATAAATGTTTACACTATAACACCACAGTATGAATATGAAGCTCTTCAAGGATTGGGCTTTAGATAATCTTTGACATAATGTTGCATTTAATCTTGATGCAGAATCTAGAAATCATGAGCGTGATCTAGAAACACAGCTGAGCAGTGAGTACAGTATGTTATTCTTCTTTTCTCTAGTCCCTCAATTAAACAACTTTTATACACGAGGTGAGGAGTCAGCCGGCCGTCCTGGCGATGTAAACAAACTGAAGATAGGACTCTGAAAACTTTGAAAACATCACAGACAGTGGGACTCGGGTGTTACACCCATTGTAGACAGTCATGACTCACAGAGTTATTTTCAGAGGATATACTTGATTTATATTACATTTAAGAGTGAAAAATATAAATCCTTTAAGTGTTCATGAAAGCAAGAGCAAATAGCTAAACTCATTCATACTGACATGGCAGTCGAGTATGCTCTATTTGTCATACAGCTGTCCCACAGTCATGTCAGTTAAAATCCATACCTGTGTGTTTTTTGCTGTTTCCTTAGCTAGTTATTTGTTAGCTAGCTCTTCGACACTGACTCACCATGTGCCAGATTTATGTGCTTTATGTGATTTTCCCTGTTTTGCATCTTCCAAAAGAGGCTCTTGCCCGCAGCATTCATAGTGACATGACAGTCGTAGCGAGCATCACCTCGAGAGCAGCAGGTCAACAGTGAACATTTACATTTCAGCCACCTTATCCCCCACAAGCACAAAGAGAGCTGCAGCCACAGCTGTGTGAACATTAGGCTGTTTTCAGTTGGCTATCTAAATACTGCTGCAGGATATTCCGTTTTTTTGGGGCCGCTTGTTTTGAAACTTGATTTATTTTCCCTTCATGAATCTTTCACTCGGCGTGGGCCTTTTTTGTTCTAATCATAATTGTAGAGCTTCAAAGCATTAAACAGCTCATTGTTTGAGATTACCATCAAATTTGATCTGATGACACAACTGGTAGTGATCTTTGGTGTTGTTCGGTAAATCAATGAATATTTTACTGTTATTTTGTTATATTTCCTTGTTGCTTTAAAGGGAGTCTATGATTCATACACTAAATGTAGGCTTCATCCTTCACTGCCTTACCCCCCCTTTGGTAAAATAATATGCTGCATTTTAATAAGTCCAGTCAGTGCCCCAGGAGGTGGACTAAAATTCTAATTTTGAAGTTATTATGTAAATTTCCTAATGGAATGAGGAGGAATAAAAACATTTTCTCCTGATTATCTAAAGTCTCTTTTATTTTCATGGTATTTTCTGTAAAACATTTTGGAACCTTTTAGGGTTTCTGTAGCAATCAGTCACAATGAAGCATTTTTGGCCAACACCTCTTTTTCCCTTTATCGTCATTGTTTTCAGCTGCACTTGAAAATTGAAAAGTGTGACTGGAGTTGTGGAGATGAGATAAAAGTCTTACAGTGGATTGTAAGCTTCAAGTGCATGTCCATATCGAATTTTAGGGAGTAAAGCTATCTTCTTGAGATAATATCCTTTTGTTCCCAGGACTGTGTTCTGCCTCTTTGTCTCTTGTTTTTACCTGCATACAGCCAAAGCCACCAAAAAACTGTGTCACTTGCCTGCGGACTCTGCCTTCATATAAAAAATCCTTTTATAGAGATTGAACACAATTGAATTTGACCAACACAGATCTATGATTTATAGTTATTCTTTTTCTATGATCCACCTCACCTCACAGGATGTTGAAGTCCTGACAGTGTGTTGACAAGTTTTTATTTTCATGCTCTCTCCCTAGACGACGGGAAACTATCCTTTGATGAATTCAAAGCCTACTTCTCTGATGGAGTCTTGACAGCTGACGAGTTGAAGGAGCTCTTCCACACAATTGACACCCATAACACAGAGTGAGTCAATGAGCAACTTCATTTTTTTTAATCGTATTCTATATCCTGGAGGAACTGCAAATCATCCCTCAACATCTTCATCCATAAATACTAAACCTGCAACACAGCACTACATCTAGAATATGTGACTGAATTATGTTTCTAAGAGAACAAAAGCAGATAGAAACCAAACGTTTAGCCTTTCTTTCTATTCAAATAAAATGAGCATTTATTTATCAGTATAGACAGCATAATGTAGAAAACATAAATGTCCTGCAAAATGCGTATAAAAGCTTAAAGAGCCCATATTATGCCCTTTTTGGGGTTCGTATATTTAATCTATGTACCTACTTTTGTACGTTCACAATAGATAAAGTCTGAAAAAAGTCTGCCGATCCGCTCTGTCGTTATTGGTCAGTTGCTCAGCACGCGTCTCGGAAATTTCAACCTGCAGGGCTGCCACAACGAGCCAATGGGCTTAGATCAGTGATCTCACACTGACAATGACGTCGGACTGACACATTTTTATCGAGGGGGGCTAGAACCGAGCGTTACGTGCAGCTAATGCTACAGCTAACAGGAGGGGGTAGGAGAAGCCGTGTTTACACAGACTTTGAATTTTTGCACATAGATGTGCCTAAACATGCACAGGACACTTGGAAAACACACTAAAGAGCATGTAAAACCAGAAAAAGCATAATATGGGACCTTTAAAGCTTCTGTGAGGAGTTTTTACCTGGTTATGAAACTGACTAAATGTAATACTGTTGCCTCTTTAAGAGCTACAAAAAGCAAACAGAACTCAGGAACCAGACTGATTATTTCTACATAGTTATTTTAAATGTTAAAGACTGCTGCACCAGGCTAGATGTCAGGTGTTGTAATGAACAGCAAGCGGCAAAACCGTTTTATATTTACCTTTTCCACTGCAAAGATTCTCAAGGAGCAGGGATGTGTCCAGAGGGGTGACCAGGGGTGGCATAGCCCCCCTCTTGAAATCTTATTGGCCACCCTAGGTGCCACCCCAAAATCCTTAACTATGATTGGCTATTTGCCGTGTGAGAGGTGGGACTTACGTTGATATCCACTATTTAGGCAGCTCATAGCTTTCCGTCGGCAGATGTTTGTTTGCCAATTTTTTTAAACACTTTATATGGTGACTTTGGACATCCATATTTTCTTGAGTCCTTGAAGAATTAAGCTTAGAATATGTGTTACAATTATCTTGTGTTACTTAAATGCCATTTGTGAAGACAGAAGGGGTAAAGAAATGTTCTTCATTCAGCTGTGGACTATAGCCCTTGTCAAGGCGTGACACGCTTGACTGTTCAAAAGGAAACAGGATGGCATTTCTTATTTGTTAAAAAAAAACACTGCTAACACTTGTACAGCGTAAAATTAGAAAAAGAGACGATAGGTTCCGCTTTGTCCAGGGGGCACAACAATCAAAACGGGCCAAAAGTTCCTCACAGGATCTTGAATTCTCTGAGTAAATCACTAAAGCTCAGTGTTGCTCAGTGATGACAGGCAGAGGCAGAGGTGAGGAGAAGAGCTCCAGGCAGTGAGCCTGCAGTGTATTCTCTCTCAGCAGGACACAAGAGACACCTGTCAGCCTGGTCCCTTTGTTCCCCTGTCAGCCTGCCTTACTTCCTTATGTCCTATATCCCCAGATTAAACACAGAATTTAACATTTCTTTTAAGGAAAGAGACTTGCTATCCTTACATCATCCATAACACCAAAGATTAACCCCCCCTCATGATCCATCTGTCAACATCATTAAACATCCCATTACAGTATTAAAGAAGGAGACAGAAGTGAGCAATCCTGTCCCACATTACACATGCAGGTGTTTGTAATGTTAGGACTGATATTCATTATTAAATAGTAAAGATATTACATGCTTCAATTTCCATTTATATGATCCTGACCCAAAGACTCATAAAGGCTGGGCCAAATGTGCACAATCAATTATTAAAAGTCTTATTAATAAACCCACTGCTCCATTGGGATTAGCTGGAGTTTTCAGTGAAGTAAAATTGCTTATTGAACAGCACTGACTGCTCACTGCAGCCTCCAAGAGTATATTTCATACTTCCCCTTGTTATTAAATATTATTTAACTTAAAATATCCTGGTATAACGACACATGGAGATCTTGAGTCAAAGCTAAACATGCCGGTGATAGCATTGGGGTCTATTTGAGGTTGAGAGAAGCCCACTGCAAGAAAAGCTTTCGGTGACGTTTGAGATATTGTTGACAGGAATGTAATTATGTATAACTGTTGTTATGGGGGGGGGGTATTTCAATCCAAAAGCAGTTCAAACCAGTATGACAAGATTTTCTGTGAGGACAGGTTAAAACAGATCAGGAGAAAATGTTTAAAAAAGTAATGATTATTTAACAATCATTACTGAACAACATAATTTCATACGCTTTCTGAGTACAGTTGTTTAGGAAACTGCTTCCAAAGAATTGTTGCCGTGGATATATTTGTATTAATAAAGTTAAAATGAATGAGGTAAACCGAGAGCCTCTTTTCCTTAACCTTTTTAAAAGGCAATGGCGTTATTGGCTAATGGCTATTTTTAAAGATCAGCATGTCAGACATCATTACTCAAGCAACCTGACATTGCATAACCGCAGCATAAGTTGTCTTGTTAAGGGTGGAATAGGGCTTTAAAGCATGCTACTGAGGTGCCAATTAAAAGTGAAGGTGCTGACCTTTTGTTCTTATAATTGAATTCTAAAGTGTTTGAACGACCCCCCATTATATACATTAAACAATCATGAATGTTTAGTGGCTAACAGTTCTGATTTGTAGCTTCAGTTTTAAATGTGGCTTCAGGTACTGGTCTATGAAAGAAAAGGAGAGGCCAGTAGTGCTGCCTGTGTCTTTGTGACCTTTGATGACACACAAAAATATAAACTAATACAGCTATATATGTGTGTTTTCAAAGACAAAGCTAACTTTAGATGAGTTATTATGTTAGCTGAGACATTTCGAGAGTAATGCTGATGACTACAAACAACATAATATCCACTTTTATTTACAACTAATCAGTTGGCCTCAATGTGTAATCAGTCTCAATTAAAGCTTGAAACAAAGATGGTGCTTTTATAAGTTCATTGATGCCAAAATGAAGATGTCCTAACAAACATACTGTATATTATTTGCACCCTTAGACTGACAAACATCTGTCTCTGATTCCCCCCAAAAAACACATTTTATAAACATCAGTACCATCACAGCCATCTGCTAAATCCATGTGAGAGAAAAACGATCATCTCCCTCTGTGAGTGATACACACTGGGAGGCAGATGACAGTTGTTAGCAGGTAATTCAGCAGCTTCTCATTGAATCCTGCATTGATTAAAGAATTAGTCACTAGCTTGTAAGTTCTGCCCAACATGCTCAAGCTGATGTGGAAAACAAGGATTATTCAGTGAATACACGGAGAGAGCAGAAAGTCTGTAAATGCAGACATCTTAGTTTTTTAAGTGTTGTTAGGAATAATAACAGGAGAGGACTTCACCGTGTGCAGAATTGACAGAATTGATTTGATTTGGATTTAATTAAGAACAATATATTCACATGCTGCTTGTTATGGACCAAGCAATAATTCATGCATGATACTCACTTCTTTTTTACCCAAACAAAGAAGACCAAATGTACAAACCAAATTAGAAGAACTAGGCATATAAAAAGAAGGTCAACTTTATATAACTCTAAATGAACAAGATGGAAAATAAGGTACAGAATCAAAAGAACACACCTAACACAATGAGACAAAAGGGAACTTTTATAGCTTAAGGGGTAGGCAAAACTGACACTTCCTTCACTAAATACAAAGAAAAACTGGCATGAAATCAGGGTGCATGGTCTTCTCCAACAAGCAGCATTTGAGTCTTGTTTGCACTTGGCCACGCCTTTTGCTTAAACCTGGAAGCTCCCTCCCCAAACATCCAAGTAACTCAAGAGAATTAAATCGTTAATACAAGAGATTTGTGTTTGAACTTACAGTGTAATACATTGTGCGCACTAAATTCAAACAATGCAAAGGTTAAATGGAAAAATAAAACTAATACCTGAATCAAACTAATTATCTTGTTGTTATTGTTGCTCTGTCCTTCTCCTACTTCCTACATCTCCCTCCACCAACACAGTTTCAGCAGATTCTGCTGGTTCTGCCACTTGAAGGAAGTTTCCCTTTGCCACTGTGAATTTGCAAAGTGTTTTTCAGTGCTGTGCTCATGATGGATTCATGTTGGGTCTTTATAGTTATTTATAACAAAGAGTAAGGTGCTTTACCTGCTCTTTTGTAGTGTGTCTGGAGGGAACATTTGTTATGAATTGGTGCTGTACAATTAAAGATTGATTGAGAGTTAAATTGTTTGTGTGGTTGGCTGCAAATATAAAGACATATGTTTCAGAAGTGGACAGAGGATACTTTTTTCTAGGCATATCGATGTGTAGTAAAGTTCTGCCCTGAGATGATGCTCTTATACAAACAGAGATGGATATCAGTTATCAACTAGTTGCTCATTGCCATGGTAACAATACCATTATAAAAGGCTCATATAGGCAGGCCCGGTACTAGAACAAAATAACTTGGGGTGCATCTAAGGGAGTGCAGCTACAGTGATAGGCAACAGCAATGGAGAATAGCGTAGGTGAAACAGACAGCTCACGTACACCTGTCCTGACCATCAGATCAAACACAATCTGAGTCATTGTTGTCATTTAAAAGCCTTGATTATTGTAAAAAAAAAAAAAAAAAAAAACTATTGTTATTATTTTGCATCCATTCAATTGAGAGTGCAGTTATTTAAAATGAGGGTGCAATGCATCCTTTTGAACCCTGGTAGAACCGGGACCTGCATATATTAGGTTTGTGGTTGTTTTGAGTCTATATTGGCAAACGTTTGCAGGCTGCCATGCTGTGCTCTCGGGTTGTTCTATGAAGCATCTCTTAACAAAAGTGAGCCTGCAGACCCTATTACTACAACCACAACAGTAAGACGAAAACACAATATTACACACAGTTACACCTTATTGGCTAACACATCAACATTGAGTTAACTTGTCCTGTGTAAAATCAGTATGACTCCCAAGGTCTCCAAAAATTCAATATCAGTCACGCTCTACTTCAAATGTTAAAGCCAACGAGTTTCAAACAACACCAGTCAAAGCTTTTTAGTCCGTTCCCCTGTTAGTCTGTTATAGTGTATAACCTCTGTTTTACCTCGTCTGCCATCTGTGGCTCAAAGTGTTTTCTCCTGTTCGGACCCATTGATTGCCTCTGCGCTTTCCCCTCATGTGAACATCAGCAGCAGCTTGTGTGGAGTAGAGTTTAAACCAGTCTTTTCTCTGACCTCCTTCTTAAGATGTCACTTTTTGTCTTTTGAACATTGCAGCACAAAAGTTTCATTTTCCACTTGGAGACACTCAATTCCTCACTTTACCCTTCGTCTTTCTCTTATTAATTTGTTTTTCTGTTTCTATCAGTCAGACAGATACACAAACACACACACACACACACACACACACACACACACACACACACACACACACACACACACACACACACACACACACACACACACACACACACACACACACACACACACACACACACACACACACACACACACACACACACACACACACACACACACACAAAGCCACATTTCCTCAAGGTCTAGGGATTCACTGATCAGCCAATCGGTCTCTAAAGCTCTCAAAGAGGAGAAACTGTGATCAATGTATTCAGTTATTCATGACAATTTCTACTCTCTTTCATTTGTCATCACACACTGGTTCAGTAAATCATGACCTTGTTCATGCAAAGTTTCTCCAGAGATCAGAAATTATTATTTCACTCCCTTGATCCTGAAACTTTTCTTTAACCCTTTTTTTTGTTTTGCAGCAATGTGGACACTGATGAACTCTGTGGTAAGTAAATCCTTCCTATAAAAACATGTCATACAATAACCGCTTCATCTTACTCTGACCTCCCATTAAATAGCTCCGTAAAAAACACTATTTGACAGTTTCCCAGCATAAGTAAAGAAGCATGTTAGATGTGGTCACATGGTGTGTGATCAAACCCCCACAGGCTGTGTGACTGAGCTGTCACACCAATGCTGCGACAACAAAACACCTACAGCCCTGTCCGAGTGCTTTAACTCACAAAATGTTTTCTTCTTTTTTCTTTTTTCCTTTTTCTTGCCTTCCTGCTGTGTAGAGTATTTCTCGCAGCACCTCAGTGAATATGAAAACGTTCTCGGTGCCTTAGAAGACCTGAACATGGCAATACTAAAGGCCATGGACAAAACAAAGAAGGTAAGATAAACAATTGTAGTATTTGGGGGAAAAAACCGTATTATAGCCATGCATCTGATCATTATTTAACCATACATCATTATTTAACTGTAAATAAATCAAATAAAAAGCATAATTTTTAACTAAACTCAACCTTTAAAAACAGATCCTATATAAAATCGGTGGAACTGTTCATGTTCAAGATTGAAGTCTCAAAAGCTTTGCCATCTTCATATTTAAAAAACTCTCTTCATCTTGGCAAATGTGCATCGTGATAAGTCCTATTGCTTTGGCTCTCAGCTATTCCCACTCACACTTTGCAGAAAATAACAACCGTGATTACTTGTTTTGTTTTGCAAGACAAAAGACACAAACACTCAGAGAACAGAGAGTGCAGAACAGTTAACAAAACAACATTTCAAGAAAACAGGGAATTAATGTGTGCTGTGTTGATTTGTGCGTGTGTGTGTGTGTGTGTGTGTGTGTGTGTGTGTGTGTGTGTGTTTTCTCTGAAGGCTACATCTTTTGCTGGCATGTAGAGGAAGAAAAAGGAAACAGGGGCTTATTTAGACAACCCTGCTTTTGCAGCTTAAGGAAATATGACAAAAATGATACAAGAAATAATATAACTTTCATAGCATTAATGATGAAATCAGGGGCTTGAGGGACTCTCAAGGCAGTATAGGAGCTTTTCCATAATTGCGGTCGTCATCAGGTCAACTTTTTTTTTTTTTTTTAAGTTATGTTTTGGGCATTTTTGCCTTAGTTGGATAGGACAGCTGAAGAGAGACAGGACATGTTGGAAAGAGAGAGTGGGGGGATGACACGCAGTCAAAGGGCTATAACCGAGTCGACAAGGACTGAAAACTCCCGTACACGCCGGGCGTGTGCCTATGTTCCCACAGCCCTATGTTCCCACATTTCTAAGATTTTTTTCAAAATTAGGCCCTATGTTCCCACAGTTCCAACATTTCTAAGATTTTATGAAAACAAGGGTTCGGCATCTATAAGCTTTACTTCAGCCGAAACCCTTTTCGATCAGCCTATTTTATTTTTTCTTGTAATGATTTCTGCTGCTGCTGATTGAAATAAAATTACTCATTCATTCATTCATTAACTATAAAGTGCTTCCAAAAAGTCTTGTGGGAGGATAGGGCTTAAATTGAAGGGAAATGTAGGAACACAAGACCTAATTTTGAAAATGTCCTAGAAATGTGAGAACATAGGGTTTAATTTTGAGAAAGGAACATAGGGCCTAGTTTTAAGAAAAATCTTAGAAATGTGGGAACATAGGGCTGTGGGAACATAGGGCTGACCCCCTGGCACCCCCAGGTCATCTTTTAATGAAAAACCTGATCAACAACCATTCAACATCATTTCTTGTAGAAAGTGTGGACGTTCATCCTAAGTCGACATGTGCATATGAGTCAGGGATGTGTGGAGGTGTGTAAGATGTGCATGTTTACTTTGATTTCACTTTGTCAGGACTCTGAAAGAAAGGTGTGGCATTCTGTGTTCATCAGGTTGCAGGAAAAAGATACTAACAAAATATTTTTTGATAAAGCTTGTTTCTAATGGCATCCAAACAGTTACAGTACATCCTTCTGACATACACATCGGCACATATTAAACATCCCACTGACATCTCCTGTGGTGCAAATAAAAATGACAAGAGGTGTTTGATTTGACTCACAGTGTGGTTTAAACTTCATCCTGTAAAGCGCTCCCAGCATGCTCCTCTGCAGCCCAGCTGGCGTCCTCAGGTCTCCCATTAGTTATATTTCCATTACAGAGCCACAGATCATGCATGCTGCAAAAGAACCTCTGGAACAAAACGTGTTATGAGGGAGGAAAAACGGATCGTGGTTAAGTAGTACTGCTTTTCATCAATGCTCAGGTGAAAGATTTAATGTCCTTTTTGTCTTGCCGTAGTTAAAGATGAGGTATAGGGAATAAGAGGAATGAGGGGGGTTAGGGAAAGAAAGGAAAAGTGACAAAGATGAAAGTAAATCTTCAGTGTCGGAGCAGATAATGAAAATAATCTGTAGTCTTTGGTATAAAGGATCTCATGGGGTGATTGATGCTTTAAGCCACCTAGTGCTGTTAACTAATTGGCGCACTAAAAGTTACCGTGTCGGATAAATAGAAGTCCAAGTCAAATTGCCTTGTTGGCAACACGCTGTTTGTTTATTTTATTATGTAATTTCCATACCAAAAAAAACACTTGCTTGTAGCTCACATTTCACATTTCATGCAAAATGCGCTTTACTGTGTTTTTCTAACTCTAATATGTGTCCTTAGCTTTTTTACAAACCCACAAGTTATGAGAAAAAGTCCATCCTCTCCTTCTTTTGCCTGCTCCACTTTACAGAAAATGTGTGCTCAAACAGGCCATTTGAGATTTTCCCTTCATGACATCACAAAGGGCAGTAACCCCTCCCCCAGGTGGGTGACACTCCCACAGCTAGGCGTTTGTTCTGCCCTCTGAGTCTGCCTTCTCACTGTAAACAATAGGACAAGGAGAGAGAAAGCCCAAGACACCCAAACCCTTCTAGAGAGGGGGCGCGGTCAGACACAGCTCATTTACATATTTAAAGGTACAGACACAGAAACAGCCTGTTCTGAGCAGGGCTGGAATAGAGGGGTTTATATACATGATCAAATACAGGATCAGAGTGGATTATTAACAAGAAACTTTACAGACATGTTTTGGGGAGCTCTGAGACTTATTTAAACTTGTAGAAAAGGAGTTTAATATGTGACCTTTAACGATCATAAAACTGATTCCCCTTCCGGGTGGAGGTTACCGTCAAGTTGAGATCCTTTACACCAAACACCAAATATTATTTACATAATCTGCTCCTACAATCAGAGTAGACAACAGATAAAAGAAATGCTGTAAAATTGATAGACATAGGAAATGGACATTTGGTTGAGAATGAGTAGCTCTATTTTCTATCTCTCTCTCTTGTGGTAGCTCCTCTGACATGAATGGCACACACTGTGAAGCTCAAATCGGCACTCTGATCTACACTGAAGCAGACGCGTCTCATGTTGGCTCCTTCAGAGAAACAGAGTGTGGGAGTCATGCTGTTCAGTCGTCTGTGTTTTTTTTTTATGAGCAGACTGAGGTAACACATGATGACGTCCAACTTCAGAAGCCAACGTATGTGCCTACAATGATAAATGGCAACAGCAGATTAAGACTTTAGTTTAATACATGGTTAAACATTTAATGAATGGGAAAAGGACAGCAGTGAGAAAATATTTAGAGAAAGATATATCATCTGCTATATCTCAGATTATTGTAAACATTGGATTATAAATGCATGAGGTTGAAGGAAACCAATGAATGTGCTTGAAATAACTTTTTCACTCCTGGAGAAATAGTTTAAAACAAAAGGAGCAGTGTTATGTTAGGTGCTTTAAACATGTAAACGCTAGACTGGATATATCTGAATTATATTGTAATGGGCTTTCAATTTCAAGTATCTACTTCATTCTTAATTTAGATTCAGATTCTTTTTTGTCCAACAAGGGGAAATTTGTTATGCAGCAGGATCAACATAGACAAGGACAACAAAAACACTGTTTGAATTGCTTGATTGCTTTTATTTGTGAGGGTTTTGAAAGTGCTATACAAGTTAAGTTTTACTTACTTACTTACATCAACAATCAAACTCACTCTGAAGTGGGTGATTTGAGCAGACCACTACCCTTAGCAGACCTCAGGACTTGCTTGGTCTGAAGCCCAGCCTGACACCTCCCTTCATATCCTGACTCCTGTCTCCCTCTCTCTCTCTTCACTTTGTGTATATTTAATATTTAAGTTATTGGATTATACCAGTGTTTTGGTGTTTTCTATCATTTTTGAATTTGTTTTTATTTTGTGTTAGTGTGATGGCATTAGGAAATGTTTTCTTTAAATGTGTCTGAATAATGTCACCGGTGTCATAAATCAGGAACTGGAGACGAATGCAGAATGAAAAAATAAAAATATTTATTTAAACAAACAGGCAAACAAAAACTTACTATCTTGAAAAGTCAAAATGTAATAAAGATAGCCACGAGGAATCACTGGGAGACTGACAACTCACATGTGACAATGAACTGACACAGAGGGGAAGAAACACAGAGACTAAATAGACATGGGGTAATCAGACACAGGTGATACTAACGTCACAGGTGAAGACAATCAGGGCAATCACACAGAGGCAGGAATAAAATACAAGAAACACTGAGGAGAACTTCAAACTGAGTTATGAAACACTGAAGACACACAGAACTCAAGAAAGTAACAAAAACACGCTAGAACATAAAGAAACACTAGGATACGAAGTTACAAAATAACACACGAAACACTAAAGGAAACAAGCAACACTAGGATAAACAGGAGAAATTAAAACATGGAAACCTAAATACTGAAATACAAAACTAAATAAGACCAAATCATGACAAATAATCCCATAATGGATGAGTCATTTGATGCCAGACACGCAAATAATAGATTCATTCATTCATTCATTCATTCATTTATTCATGTAATTTCATTTTTAGATAGCCAGGATGATATGTTTTTCCAAATATCCATAATGTATTATTGAAAACATGAATGTTCATTCTGCTTAGGCAGAATTGGATATCTGCAGTGGTGTTTCTGGAGTATGTTGGGGCCCTAGGCAAAATTAATTGGGGGCCCCTCCAACCACCATTATGCCGGCCAGTGTCCCGATGCTCTTCCTCTTTCTTTTTTCACTCCCAGACAGATAATTCTTCCTCATTTTCCTTTAGAGACTTTCACTGATGAACTTTGGTTTTCCCAGGAATGACAAATGAGATGCTAAGCAGGGCAATGAGAGTGAGTACTGTCAGATGGGGCCCCATTAGGGAGGTGTCCTACAGCCATTGCAAAATTTGTCACATTTTGAGCTCATGCTGCGGGCCCCTTACTGGCCTGGGGCCCCAAGCAGTTGCCTGCCTTGCCTGTTGACAAGCAGCGCCTCTGGATATCTGAAAATACAATTGTTGACAATAAGAATGTTATTGTGGATATCTTTCATTACAATTCAAGAAAACAGTTTAGACCTAGGATGATTATGTCTATCTGATAAGACAGCGTTTGCTTTACATGTTAAAATCCAAAGAAAATAAAACAAACATACTCACAAAGACTTCAACAGTTCCAAAGTATAAGGAAGTTAATAAATAAAATGACAGTCTAAGTACCTTTTAGGTTCTTTTTTTCTAAGAGTATAGTTGAAGACACTTTCAGTTTCAGAAAGGTGTTGAGTCACTCGTCATTACATTCACACTCAGGAAAAACAGGTCTGTAAGGGTTCTGTTTTGTCTCAGTGTAATTTTGTTCAAAACAAAATAAATGTTTGAAGCAAATAAAAACAAGCAGAAGAAATGGAGGAGTTATTGAACAAGGTAATAACTCTTAAATCAAATCACAACACTGCTGATGGCTCCCCGGAGCCTTTGAAAAAGTGTTTACTCTGAATTCATAGTTTTTCCTGTGAAACACCTGTAATGTCATAGTTGATGACTTTGATACTCTGATATGAGTCACAGCACAAGAAAGGGAGAAGTAACGTATATTTCTGCATCTGTTATGGAGTGTTAGCTGAGTGAGGAGGAGAGCAGATGCTGCGTTAGTCACAGACCAGAGCTCAGTCGTCTCTGTTCAACTGTGTACGTATCTGAGTGGGTGGTCTCTGGCTGTATAGACGTGTGAGGGGGCATGCGGCGGCATGCGTGTGTGCTTTTGGGAGGTGTTCCTTTAGTGTGTGAGAGCTCACATACACACAAGCCAATTTGTGTGTGCAAAAATCCATGCATAAGTGCGTGGGAGTTATCTAAATCAGAGCCAGGAATGTGCTACGTATCCGTGAAAAATCCTTTTATTTTACACATGTAGTCCTGCAAAAGCTATTTACAGACTTCCCATATGTAACCTCCTTGTGCTCCGACCTGAAACCTGTTCCATCTGAGGTGTTTGTGACCTGCTGATTGCTTACTTTGTTGTGTTTTGCTCTCAGCAGAGGCCTGTTGGGGATAACATATGATTGTATCTTTTTTCTTAACATTTATAATAATGAAAAAACAATAGCAAGCTCAGTGGTAAGATATTCAAATTTACATTTACATCTGCACCAAGAGCTAGTTACACAGCTTTTCCTAAGTGTAAGTCAGTCTTAGTATAAAGTCTGTGTTGAATAAATGGAGACAATATGCTCATCAAATAATCAAAAAGGATAAATCACAATATATGTAAACCTCTTAACTGTCAGGTGTGACTAGTGTGGAGCTGGCTAGCTAGCTGGACCCACTTTCACAGCTAACATGAACTTACTAGCATTTAAGCTAGTGGGAACCTCCGTTGTTGAAAAAGTAAGCCAATGTGGAAGTGCAAAAAAAAACTGCAGTTCCTCAAGTGTCCACTTGAGGCTGGCTCCAAGAGCTCTAGAAGTCACATACACACCAATGTTAAAAAGCCCATTCTGACAGCTGGAGTAAACATGTTTACAGCGTGTTTCAAAAGACAAATCGTTTGTGTCTTTGTCAGCACACACTGTACTGGTATTTATGTTTTGTTTAACTCATCTGTTTTGAGTTTTATGAATGATACGAGTTATAGCTCTTTGTAGGCTTAAGGCCCGAATCAGATCCACATCTTTGGTTATTACTATAGGTTAACAGAAAGTCCTAAATTAAACTATATCTATCCATCCATCCATCCATCCATCCATCCATCCATCCATCTATATCCATCCATCCATTCATCATCCATCCATCTATATCCATCCATCCATTCATCCATCCATCCATCAACCCATCCATCCATTCATCCATCCTTCCATCATCCATCCATCCATATCCATCCATCCATCCATCCATCTATATCCATCCTTCCATCATCCATCCATCCATCCATATCCATCTATATCCATCCATCCATCCATTCATCCATCCATCCATCCATCCATTCATCCATCCGTCCATCAACCCATCCATCCATCTATCCATCTATATCCATCCTTCCATCATCCATCCATCCATCCATCTATGTCTGTCCATCCAACCATCCATCCATCCATCCATCCATCCATCTATATCCATCCATCCATTCATCATTCATCCATCTATATCCATCCATCCATCCATTCATCCATCCATCTATGTCTGTCCATCCAACCATCCATCCATCCATCCATCTATATCCATCCATCCATTCATCATTCATCCATCTATATCCATCCATCCATCCATTCATCCATCCATCCATCCATCCATCTATCCATTCATCCATCCATCCATCCATCCACTCATCCATCCATCCATCTATCCATCCCTCCATCCATCCATTGATCGTTGATACTGCCCCCCCCCCCCCCAACACACACACACACAGAAAGATGCAGATCACAGAGATAATCCATACTCAGGTGGTAGACAGGAGAATGACCTTTTTGTTGTGACTCAATCTCACTGCGTAAATGTGCACTTGTGTCTGTGCCCGTGTGTGTGCTCTTCAACATCAGGGGATCAAACAATCCAAAACCAATGACAGTCCAGGGTTCTTTAAATGCCACCTTTTACACATCAGATAGCACTCAAAATTATGTCTGTTTTATTCTTGTCAGTTTATGTTGTATTATTTCATTTATATGACACACTATTGGAGACGACTGAAGGGAGAAACTTTAGACTAATGATGTGTTCTGTATGCAGGTGGAGCTGCTGACAGTTCAGCTCTCTCACGGGAAGACTCATGCTCAACACACTTTGAATAAATGTGTGTGTGTGCATGCATGTGTGTGTGTGTTTGTGTTCTCCAGAGTCGGAAATACAAATCCTGAATTCATAATAAAAAAAAAAAATGTCATATTACTTTTTAACAAATGTAGATTGCCTCAGAAAGTCACACTTAGACTACTTTATTTTTCCTGCCACACACTAACACACACACACACATTCCATTACATGCATATGCTATTCGTCGATGCGACTCATATTAGCATGTCCCCTCGGACCTCTCATTGTGTGTCAAGTGTACAAACAGTCCACAGGAGCAGGTGCAGTGTGCAAACAGCAAACCCTGTTGTGCCCGAGCGTCACTCACTCCCGCTCTGATTAGATCCAGAATAACAACTCAGCCCTCCTGCTCTGGTCCGTACACACAGAGCAAATGATGCCTCTCCATCATGTCATTTACTTTCATTTATTTAATATCAGGCTCCTAGAGCCTGCATAAAGAAAAATGTGGCCTCGAGCCACAAAATGACAAATTGTACCTTAGCTTGAAGAGAAGGAAAGAGGAAAGTACTCGTTAGATGGGATTTTGATTCAAGGTGGGGATGATTGTTTCATATTTTATATGCAAGCTGAAAATAAAATAACAACAAGCTTGTAAACAGCTTCTACTGCAGATACATATTGCATGGCATTTTGTGTGATTTCAGTGGCTTGCAGAGATAAGTGGAGGATGTGAAGCAATTTACTTTTGCTCTCATTAGATAAAATCTGACTCCACTAGTGCTCGCAAAAACTTAACGTATGTTAGTTTAACATTTTGGTTGGTGACTGTGATTCACAGCTCACTCGTACAATCCTATTTGCGGCAATATGAGATGTGTCTTGTCTTGCACCCACAGACTGATAGTGATATTGTGAATTTGATATTACTTCATCCCAGTTTGAGATAATTTCAAGCAATAAATGTATCCCGCTGTCCCTGCACAGTAATGGCTGTAGTTTGTTATTCCAGCTCCATTTTCCTCTTTAAATGCAGAATGTGTGACACATACATAGATACAGCAGAAACCAAATATATCCTATGTAAATGTCCCTCAGTCATGACTGTGTTTTTGTGGAGCATTGGTTTTGTCATTGTGCATTTAAAACAGTGTGAGATGAAAACTTCCTTTGAAGAAAAATTTCCATTTGGATTTTACGTTTTTCAAATGTAATATGTAAAGATTGGGGAAGGTTTTCAAAACGCTGGTGTTCAGCTTGGCAGGGGGCTCTGGATAGTGTGAGATGCAGAGTGCAGGCGTGTGA